CGGCCCGGGCGGTAGACATGCATGGCTACACCGGGAGGCGCCCGGGACCGGACCCGGCCCGGAAACGCGGCTGAGGGCACTTCCGGTCCAAATTCATGGCCGCTCTAGTGAATTTCAACGGAACTACGGCGCCGCCACCGCCGGAGCGCCGACGGGATGCGTCCAACGCTTCGGCTCGGCGGGGTACACCAACACCAAAGGAAGGCATGCGGGGCTTATATGTGTATCGTGTAAAATTACTCTTTAAACAATATCGTTTCGACGGCTCGGAATTATTACTTATATTGCCGTAATTATGTATCTGTGTTGTATCTGAAATTAGCCAATTAACAGAATTTCCGTAATCGAAAGTAAAATTATGCAATGGTACTGTGAATGTGAAACAAACATGAAAAACTCAATTAGGTGAACTCAAATGGCAAATTAAACACATGGCTCTCTTAGTCCAGTCAGATCGAATGTCACTGCAACTTTTTTTCAAAACAGTTTTACTGCAATGGCTAACTGAAAATTTTATTGTCCCACTTGAATTCATTAAGTGATTTCAACTAAAATTTGCTTTTACTTTATTAAATTTGATTTGCGACATGTAATTACTAAATAAATGTTTTTTAGATAACTATTTAGGGTTACGTTCTTTGTTGTTCCAAGTTAAAGCAATATTTGTAAAATGCTTTTAATTAAATATTTACTGAAGTCAAATACGGTTGTATACATACAATTTATCTTTATGATGGTTTCAAAATATTTATAAAAGTTTTCTAATATTTGCAAGTGGATTTACACAAGTGAATGAGAAAAATTAAAAAAACATACCTAAATAAAAATTAGGGGTAGAACCCCTTAAATAGGTAACTCTGTATAGGTACTCATCAACATTTTATTTTAATACTATGCCTTAATAGTTTATTTTAAAAGAAGATTCCTTAGCTTCATAAACATGAGAGTTGATTTATAGGTACCTTTGTTGTTATACTTATTAGCACATAAAAAATCATATTTAAATCGTAATTACATTTTATTTTTTTTATAATTGCTGGTGGGGGTAGTGTGATGAATCAAGAACACGACATGACCTCTGTCTGTTTTTGACATTTGACAGCTTTTGAAAAAATCTTCTCCTTGGCATTAGGATTTTTATAGGGCTTGAATTACGATTGTTATTATAATAAAAAGGGTATAACTATTAGCCTCAACACAGTTTTCCCCCATTCAAAATGAAATTACAAATGACCTACGTGACGGTAAGACACACTTTTGACGTACATCACTAGCTCTCCGTTACTTTAATCGCATTTGTTAAAGTGAGATAAATAGCGTGACTGATCTTGCGCAAATACGTAGCGAGAGAGCAACAAGGCTGTTTACAAATGTTGAAAAGAGATAGCAATTTGGTACGTTTTTCGGATTATTAATTGATCCAAATGCATAAATAAAAAAACGAACTTTACTCAAAATTGATCAACAGCCATATTTACAGTACGAGTAAATAATTGAAACAGTTACTAAGCAGTTAATATTTCTAAAACAATATTTCTTGATTATAACTTTTGAAGTTATTTTCTTGCATTTCAAATCAAAAAAACTAGGTATACACTTATTGCCATAATCGCCAACTGTCAATCACACTGTCAATGTCGCTTTTTGAGGTAAAATAAGACACAAACATTTGATTTCTTAATCAAAAATCTGTGTAATAACTGATTGACTCTGTGTTTTTAAACTTTTTAGCAAATTGAATTCGTCCTTTACACTTTTTTTTTTATCTTTAATCGTATGTGCAACGTTTTCTAAAAAGTCAAAAACACGAGGAGAGCAAAAATTGCTGTTTTAATTTATTTTTTTTCAGCAAAATTTTGCTATAACATCATTTTTGTTACTGTAAACTATTTCATGTTCTATCCGCCTCTAATTTTGAAGTTGGTCTTGTCATCATATTCATTTAAATGAAGCAATTTTTTATTTTTTTTTTGTTCTTAAATTATTGTAGGGACGCTACTGAGACTATCTTCGAATTACGGAAATGGATTGATCTCGTGTTTTTTTTAACTGTGTTCAGAGTTAAAAAAACGTCCCTGTATGTAACAAAGATTTAGTGAAAACTAAAAAACCAACATCAACTCACATTAAAAATAGATAAAACATCTATAAACATAAAATAATACATAAGTAAACTTACTAAAATATACTCGTATGTTTTCTAAATAGGTCATTCTAAGCGTAGTATCATTCTTACCTACAAGCATATTAACTTGAATTATTTGTTCATTAAAAGAAAATTATAAGGTATTTACGTATATTACATAAGGTTTTCCCAAAATTTTACAATAAAATGCAGAAGTTTAAGGTTGATATACTTAGTATTATCATTATAGATAGTATTTTGCAGCATCCTCAAATACGAGTAAATAACAATAAACAAGTACCTAACACAGTTTTAATTACAGGTTAGTGCAATTAGCATCAAATCAAGTGACTCAACTTTTGTGTCACATCAATTTTAATTTAACTCAAAGTAATGCAAAGTGTGGTAGATTTGATTAATTACTTGTTAATTTAACTTACATGATTTTTGTATTACAGTAGTTTTATTTTCGTAGTTAGATCCCAAATATGGTCACGACGATAAATGTAGTGCATATTTTATGTTAAACACATTGCTTAAAAAAAGTCTTAAAAATAAGTATTTATAAGTGAAAAAATAAAATAAAAAACATCTTAGCTAAAGTTAGATTCAAAAAATAAATGTCTACTTTCTATTGAAATTTGATAAAGAAAACTAATGTTGAAAAAAATTGAATCGATGCTCATTTAACGTTATATACTTTTGAAAAAAATATTGAAAGTATCATCTAATTTTTAATAATAAATTCTAGTGGAACAATAAACAGCTTGCATTGAATTAAGTTTTGGGCTTTTGTAATTTAGTTTTACAAAAATGTCGATATTTCATAATTGACTGTACTTTGTATGATGTGTATTTTGGGCATAATTAAAATCTAAAGATCTGGCTCTATTTATGTATAGAAGTCAGATAAAATATCGTGCACATGCAGGACGATACAACAGAGGACATGCCATCACTCACCCGTACAGGCGGCTGTCCCGAAAACTAGCCCTAAAGAGCGTACAAAAAACCTCATCAATAATCACACATTATAAGAATTGAAAGAAAACAACTGCTTTTACCAAAACTCCCATAAATTAGAATGATACAATCTGGCGAGTGGCAAAGCAAGTGAAACCTTTTTAATTACAGATTAGGCACAGAATACATAATGTTTTATTCATATGGACGAGCACAGATTGTTACTTCGATACTTAAGTTGGAAAAACACTCTCGTTTTATTGCAATTAACACGATGATTGTTTTGAGAGAATCGGTATACTTACCTTCCATTTCCGTGTCTAAACAAGGCAAGGATTTCTTCAAAGGTCTTGTTCTTCGTTTCAGGGACCTTTTTGTATGTGAAAATCCAGAATATAGCTAGGAACACGCTAAATGGCAGGAACGTATAGTTATCGAGGGCGTTCTGAAACAATTTAGCAATATTAACAATCGCTTTCGATATGTTCATTTGGTACAGCGTTTCTAACTGTAATTAGTACAAGTTCACCTGCATTCGTTAAAGTAAGAAAAGTGCCTCTAATTATTTATCATATACATATTAAAATATAACATATTAATTCAAATATGTGTGACCCTTTCACAGATCACAACTATATAACGGGGGTTAACACCTCATGTCGATGTCAGTTGTTCAATACCGACCAAAGCAATTACAACATTAAACATGAGATTATTTATTGTAAGTACACCAACTGTTGTTGACAATAAAACTCATACTTTTTCCGATAGACATTGGCCATCGCATCCTTCGGGGTGATGGGAGTCCTCTCTCAAGGAGGAGGAGGAGGTGGAGAAGAGTTCGGTCATCACCGCGAACGTGGAGAAGTGCACGGACTTAGCCGAGGAATCGAAGTTGGACGTCACCATCGTGGAGAAGAAGAAGAAGGCGGCCGAGGACATGAAGAACGCGGAGGTGGTGGTGGCGGTGGCGGAGGCGGCGGCGGTGAAGTCGGCTTTGGCGGATCTCACTTTATCACTCCCGTTGAAGTGCACCATGAAGAACTTATTCATCTTAAAGTGAGTGAGAAGCTGGCTCATTTTTAGTGATTTAACAGACTTTTTCAGGCCCATCCCGAGTTTCACTATGAATACCGCATTCGTGACCACAAAACCAAGGATTATCACCAGAAACATGAAGTCCGTGATGGATACAAAGTAAAGGGTACCTACAGTTTGTTGGAACCTGATCACAAGACCGTCCGTGTAGTCGATTACACCTCAGACAAGAAACGAGGATTCGTCGCGAGAGTCTCTTACAAACCACATTATTAAAATTACCATTTGCCATAATTTTAAATGTTAATTATTGTCTAGTTTTAAAGTCGACTTGTTTTGTTGCGAAATAAAGTAAATAGTCTTGACAAAAGTTTTTTACCAACATCCAAATTCCCTGCAGCAACTAACATTTTACCAAAACATTTAAAGAGAAAAAAAGTATACTTTCAAGACTAAAGAAAAAATATTGAAGGCATCCAAAAATAACTAGTCGCAGACAACAAAGTAATTTCTTATATATAGACATATCGCACTCCGGCAAGAACAACCCCCAAATAATCTAGTCAAAAAAGTTGCCTTATTAATTCTGTAATTTCAACTCCAATTTTTGATACATAATCGTGCTAACAAACTGCATAATCCAAAATGTACACATGTTTAAGAAAAAATAGGAGTACTAATTAATAAAAAGATAAAGATAAAATAGTATATTATAATACAAAATGGTTATAAATGATTTTCATCTAGCCAGCTGTGAATTTTCCATACAAAATGAAAAATACCCGTTTACGAAAATACGGGTACCTACTGTAAATCGCTTTCAATTATAAACTTGTTTTCTTTCAAAGTATACATTATTACCAATTATTATTGGAATTTAGTTGAAACAATAAAAGTTTAATTAACAACAATTTATTATTAATTAATAAGTGACACTAATGACAGAACTAGAGCTTTCAAAAAAGTAGAGCGGCACAAATAAAGTTACATGCAAAAAAATTCCAAAGCTGTCTAGATGAAAATCATTTATAACCACTCTGTACTAGTTTATAAACAAGCCTTTAAAACACGCACGACGGGTTTAAGAGCACGACGCGTCAGCGGAGTGCTTTTAACGTCGTGTTTTAAAAGCGCTTATAAACGAGTGTTATACGCTATTTTTTATTATATCTGCCCATTTACGATCTTTTATGAGCATTGAAAAAATGTGAATTTACACAATAAAATTATCAAAGGTTGTTTGTGAATCGTTTTCGTAACTTTAAAATTTCAGCGTGCTATAAAGGCCAAATTACGCACGCTGCAGTGTGTTTTTGATGCAGGCATAATAAAAAAGTTTTTATGAGTAATTTTAATTTTTGGTTAACTTGATGAATTTTCAAACGATTAATTTGATCCATTTTCTGTAAGGCTATTAGATAATACGTACTAATTGAAAGGTTTGAAGAAAACGAAGTCGCATCCCAATTTCACAAAAATAATACTTTATTGTCGTCGGGAGATGTTTCGGCAATCAATTGCCATCAGTCTAATTTTTTTTTTTAAAGAAACATTACATATTAAAATTAAATTTTAGAACCAAATTAAGTACCTACTGAAATTAACACGTTATTTCTATACCTTGAACAAAAATTGTTATCTAAAAGTTTAAAAAAAAAGGCAGAGAAGCTGAACCTTCCCTGGATGAAAAAAACAAAATGGAGAAAACGGAAAATAAAGGTAAGTATTGTTGTTTCCGTTAAAACCATATACGATTAAAAATCTAATAAATTAATAAATTAATCATCACCTTTATTTATTTCTAGTAATACCGGTTGAATCTTTACAAGTACAAGTAAGTATCTTTAGTCCTTTAATGCAATTACTACAATTCAATATGTACGCCATAGTTATCTCTATTATATCAAATAATTTTACACCCTGTAAAATTTCATCTATTATTTCAAAACACATACTGTTATAATAACTTATAAATTATAACAGTATCTTACCTTATCGTTTTAGTATTTTTCTGAGGCAGTCATTTCTAAAATATTTTACTGGGCATGAAAAAGAATGACTGAGATAATAATTGTTGTCACGGCAGTTACACAACTTTACTAATCACCGTTTAGTTTCGTTAGAAGTGATTTAAACTCCTATTAAATAATTACGATAGAAAAATTGTTTCATAAAATTACACCCTATTAAAACAATAGCACGATCAATGTTCACACTCGTCCACGTTTTTCACGTTACGAATCGAGTATTGTTCTAAATCAAGAATAAAGAAACAATAACAAATTATAATGTATGAGGAAACTGCTCCGTGAACTAAATTTTGCACGATTTGCGTTTCACAACTCGAGTATTAAATCTGATTGCACCGAATCATATCCATTTTTCAACAACAAAAACGTTCAGTTTGTGACATCAATCATTTCATAATACGCATTCTTTTGTAAAGTGAAGAAGATTCAAAACCATCAAATTAGAGACGAAAGCAGTACAATTTCTGCCGAGTCACAATTGCATTTTTAACAATTAACAAAAATGTGCCTTGCACAACACATTTGCATGTTGTAATTGGAGTCTAATTTTGCCCTTTTCCGGATATTGCTGCAAGTCTTTTTGAGTAGAGCACTTTATAATACGAACTAGTCATTAATAGCGGCAATAGCGTGATCTGTCCATACAAACTTGTAGCTCGTGCTTGTGAATTGCCACACCGCTCTGCGTTCCCTTTTACTAATCGAAGGAAAGACAAGAAAACTTCCCAAAGTCGAGATATGCACCCAACAAGAACGAAATGCAATCACAAACTTAATTAATTATTATTATCGTTATTTGTTAGGAGTATTACATATGCTCCAATTTCCTCCAGTTAATGTCCTGTGTCCGCTGAAACTGAAAGCTCTGATTTTTTTCAACCAAGGACGTATTTTGTAATGTTATTATTGTCTACATGAAAGTAAAATTTCAGTAATGGCTAGCAGTTTTGTTGATTGGTAATTATCTCAAGTCTGGAAAAAATGTACCAGGAGTTGGAATATTTACTCTAATGGCGATTTTGAAACCCGTGCTCTTAGAATGTGCATGTATTGTGCACTGAGAGCGTTATTATGTCACAATTATAGTACTTCCTAGCAGAATTCATGCTCCAGTATGCAAAATAGCGACGTTTCAGAGCAGTGAAGGTGCAATTCGATTATAGATAATGCAGAATTGTATGGTTGCCGATTAATAATGTCTTGGCGTAGTTGCGGCATGTCTAAAACTGTTCAATTACGATGAGAAATTTCCGACTCTTTCCTTCCTATCGCTGTAATCATAAGAATATAGCCGTTTTTGTTTATCCAATAAGTGTAGCTACTACTTACGAATTATTTACTTGCTAGTTCCGGTTTTCGCTACTGTTTATTATTTTTTGGAAATTATACAACCAATTATAAAGAAATCAATACTAATGACACACATGGCGAGTGCGTTAATCAAACAGAGCAGAACATTTCTTCAGGTCAGGTAGTTAACATATCACTCAGTCTTATTACAATAACATTATGTAATGTAAGTTTTAGGATTACAAGTTTTATGAGACGTAAACCAACTTCTAATTAAAGTTGCGATGATATTACGGTAGCAATTTGTTGGATGAGAATAGGTCTAATTAAGTTTTAAGGTGTTTCACAAAAATTAGCCAAATTTGTTAGACAAGAGACAATCGAGTTGCTCACACAATATTTAATGCTGCAGAAGTGTTAAATGCTGTGACTTATAAACCCACAAAAATTAATAAACAAATTTCGTAACTTTACGACAAACGCAGCTATTTATTAATTTTTCCAACATACTCTTTCTATCGTCGATTTAAGATTACCTCTTATGCTGCCTTTAATATACGCTGTACTATAAAATACGTCGTCAATCACATCGTATTTTATAAGTAAGAACATAAAGTAGGTACATTTATCTTGGCATTTTGGCAATTTCGACATATTTTTTTATAACAGATTCTAGATTTAGTAGATTTTTTGATTATTGGAAAAAAAAATTGAGGACAACATAAAGTTTTATAGTATCTCGGTATATTAAATTCTCGCTCCCAATGATCGCTCAAATTAAAACTACGATCTCGGTTTGTCTATAAAACTCGTGTTGTTTTAAAAGCTATAATTTTATACAGGTGTCCGGAAAGTCGCGAACCTCCGTGACACTGTATCATTGGGTGATGCCCTAGACAACAAGAAAAATGTTAAAAAATCTATCTATAAAAATTTCGTTATAAGAGTTTAAATTTTGCACTTTGACTCTATTTACTTCTGTTGGAAAAATAATTTTCCAAGTTTTTTTGCTACAGGCCGTTAAAAAAGGAAACAAGGAAGCTGTATCCTAAATTATAACTCTGTTTAGTGTTGGCAAAATGTTTGTCCCTCTACTAAATAATTATAAAAAAAACATATACAGGATCATCAGTATGATTAAATAAACATAAAAAAAATTCAAATTTCAAAAAATAAATGTCAAAATTTTTTGACAGATAGAATTTTTTAAACATTTTTTCAGTACTCTGGGGGACTATCCAATTACCTCCTTTCAAGGAGGTGCACGACTTTCCAGACAGTCTGTATGTTTGTAGATAACAATGATTAATAAATATTTGAACAAATCAAACAAATAAAAAGAACCAAGCAATCATTAAAGTTATTACTTCTAACTACGCATAAATCACGTACTAAAAAGTACTTTAAATTACATCACTTTCGAAAATACAGATAAGTAATTACCCATATTTTCTAATTTAAGGCGTTTCTATCTGTTGACCTTGTCCTGCTAATGGCTGTTTTGTGCAGGAATTTTCGGAAGTTTACTCAGCAGTTCACTCACTCTTCTTCCTTTCGTGGCGCAATACCTTTCCAGTAAACGATAAGTCAATTTTGTGTAAACTTGAGACAGTTTCGAATCACGTATCTTATCTTTTTTTATATATCGGAAAAATATTTTACATCGATATCATTTTCGTTAAAAGTATTCATCATGAGTACATCTCAAGAACAAATGAATACGAACGACACTGAAAACAGTGAAAAAGTGGCTGATGGTAGCGATCAATCAACAGAATCATCCGATAAACCAAAAAGGAGATCAAAAAGATCCGCATTTGATAGCATGGAACGCAGAAATGCAGCATTCGATGGCCAAGTGGAAGAGGAGTTTCAGTAATAAGCAGAACTTATTCTATTTTTTATCCATTGTAGTACCATAACCATGTGATGGGTATGTCACTATTATATTTTTATATTGTCAAAATAAAATTGAACAAAATAAATCGATTTTTATTATTAAAATTGTTTTTTTTAAGGAATCGATATTTTTTTTTAATAATAGAGAAAGGTGGATTTAATATTTAGATTAACTATCATGTATGTACATATAATACTCATATTATCAGTTGGCCAAAATATCATTTTCTAAAATTTTATCTTGGTTTTACATCGTATCCAGAGCGCGCCAGAACTCGCCCCCATATAAGGTAAGATACCAGGAACATAAAAAAATGTTAATTTTTTTTTTCATGTTCCTGGTATCGAAAATTTTCTCTGGGGCGCGAGTTCTGACGCACCCTGTATATTATATATACAGGATTATTCATAAATATAACGCAATATTTGAACCTCAAAAATAACCTGCTCCTACATATTATTTTTACTACTACATAATTATGTAAGTAAGTAATATAACAAATAATTTGATTTACCTAAATGTACACATTTAGGTAATGTACATTACTTTTTAAATACAATTTTAATTTGGAAACCTAAAAAATTTTTGCTATTGTATAGTGTTTTTGTGCCATGACTATTTCATACAATAAAAGGTATCGTAATTTTAGAACAATTATTGCTGAAATAATAGAAATGCTTGTAATTAAGTAATTAAATTGATAAATAAAATTATACTTTCAATTGGAATAAAATAAATAACAAAATAACATAAACGATTTGTAACAAATAATGCTAATTTATATTTACTTCAAAAATACCGAAGCAGATCTGCACAGATTATAACTTCACAAAATTAAATTGTATAATTTTTTATTTTGCTTACCTGTTCGAGCCAAACTACATAAATGCTATTCAAAATACATGGCGATAATTAATTAAAGACTTGTCAAATTTTTTTTGTAAAGTAATAAAAGAACAACTAGGTCCATCTTTGTTATTTTTTTGAATACTTTTGAACACGTCTGTATAACATCTGTCAGTAACAACGATTTGCAATCGAGTAAATCCCGACGAACTGAAATAAATACTTGTTTATATTACTCTGGTAAGCATTCAGGTTATAAAATCCTACTGAAGCTAAAACCGTGATCCTAATCTAATGAAGTAATGAGTTATGTGTTACAGACAATAATAAATACTTTGTGGTTTTATGATAAGTTTTATAAAATGTAAATATTTAAAATTATAAGGAAATGTGTAGTAAGACAGACTCGTTCAGCGATAGAAGTTTTCTCCATTAAAAAATAATGAGTGACAGTTCCAGCATCGGTATTAAAGAGGAAAATTCCTCTTTAAGTGAAAATAATGAGGAAAAGGCATCAGAAAATAAGGTGTTAGTCCGTAAAAAGAGGCAAGCGTTTGATGGCGCCGACAGAGAAAATGTTGGATTCAACGGCAATGAAGAAAAAGAATTTAAGTAAAGTTCGTTCTGCTAAATACAATAAAGGTTTATCAATAATCGGTGATTTATTAATTGTTGTCACACCAATTCAATAAAAATTTAAAATAAGTTTTGTGATTTAAACCCCAACATACGTAAATTGCTAGTGTTCAACAATAATGACTTAAAATTTGTGTCTCTAAATTTAAAAATTACGTTGTGCTGTATATTTCCCATGTCGCTTTTAGAAAATGATTATTACGTTATTTTCTTTTAAACACATATTGACGTAAGTGCTAAATATTTAATGGTTTACCCCATATCCGTGATGTTAAAAAAACTCTGGTAATATAAACCACGAGCAATATTAAAATATAGGTTTTCTGAAGTCAAACATAATAAATTCAAAAACCTACACATAAATTCATAGAAATTTTAGTTTTTAGTTATCACTAAACAAATTCGCTTTATTTAGCTTGTTATATTATAAGTATCTACTAACATACGAAACACCTTTATTTAAAGAATCATACAACCAATCGATTAGTTACATCTTTACACAATGTCTGACAATCAGCAAACATTTCACTTTACTAATCAAAATATTAATAATAATGAAGACAAAAAAATTAAAGTAGATTCAAAAGAAGAAGAATATACAAGAAGAACAAAAAGGCAAGTGCTAGATGCGCCCCTCAGAAAAAATATAGGATTCGATGGAAAACAGGAAAAGGAGTTGAGAAGTACGTATTTTCTTCCAACAACTGAATTTATTATTTTTATTTTACTTGTTGCAGATGGTTGATCTTAATAATTAGACACATATTAGTTAAGCTTGTAGTATATTTATTACGTTTAGCATAAATTACATAAATTAATTATTCTCCAAGATTAATAAACACTGTTTCAATTTTAGATCGTTGAAAAATTATCGTAAAAGTATTGGTTGTATTATGTAAATACGAGTAGGTACGATATAGTTAGGTTTCTAAAGTATATGTATATATATTTATTTAGGCTAAACAATGAAAACAGATACTCGTAGTTACGGTTTATTTATATGTATTCTAGATGCTATTCCAAAAATGTTACTTGATGTCTTTTAATGTTTTAGGAAATTTTAGATTTTAAGAAATGCATGTATTTTATAAGTGGTAATAAAAAAATGGTCTAGTATCTCAACTAAATGACAAATAAACACTCAAGATTATCAATTATAATTGAGTAATAATAGATTTTTTCATACTTTATCTCAAACATTGCTTTCTGTGGGCTAACCTAGCTTTTATTTTATTTATTTTATTCTCGAGAGAATAAATTACCAGAATATTAGTCAAAAACGAAAAAATAAAGCGTCACTTTATTCCCTGTTAGGAAGAAAACATAATGTGTTTCAATCAAGGCACTTTTTTGGAAAATTTTAAGATATTTTCCAACTACAATTCAGGTTTCCAACACAGTTTTTCTCGCAGTTTTTTAAAGAATACAAAAATATTATGTTCTAAAGAACGGTAATTATCAAAGTATATATTTTTATATCGTATGTATGACAGGTAAAAAAATATTGCCTACTAATATCATTTATTTCTTATTAAAATTACATATTAGGTATTTGATGTTACCGATGTAGACATAAAGATAATAAATGATCAATGTATGCACCTAATAAAGATATCCGAGATTACTTAAATACACATATAAAATAATAATAAATATTAGTATAAACTTTGATAAAATATGTCTACGACATTGATGGATGTGAATTCCAGTTTTTAGTGTATTCACTTGCATTTTATTTTGTATTTTGTTAGTATCTACACACGAGATATTTACACAGCTGTTAACATAAAGATACATATTTAATACATATTACAATTATTGATTGTAATTATAATAAGCCACTGAGCCTGTAATAAATTAGCTACACTAGATATTGTTAAAGGTGTAACTGAGTTAATAAAATTAATTAATGAACGTTGTTATCGTCATTACGCATTAAGAATCTTGAATGATCTTTTAATTACTATTTAAAGTTCTCTTTGCGTAAAAATCGTGAATGAAAGTAAATACGTCTCCTAATTATCCCACTTCTGAATGCATGTCAAAGTGATTTCATTTGAGTAGGCAAAATGAAAATTAAAGAGGTATCCGATATGTTAATGAATCTATGAAGAAAGTAAAATATCATACTGGATGTCCGGAAAGTCGCGCACTTTATTGAAAGGGGTACTTAGGGGTAGAGCTTATTCCATATCTGGTGGCGAACTGACAGTGACAGAAAAGACACTTGGAGTGCGCCCACTTGGGTAAGATAAAAAAATACATGGGCGTGCTTTTTTGTCTCTAAAAATTTTGAAGACAAGGATTGTTAGGAATATCATTTTTCATGCGTTAACAATTTAATAATTTGTTCATCATTCTTCATCTTATGTATGAATACCTACTTATTATAATTTTCTAGAGAATAACAGTGGTTTTGAAATATTATTTCATACGACGCCTATGAACAATATTTTTTTAATAGTAAACATATGTTTAGTGTCAAAATTCAGTCATTTTTGACAACGTCAGTTCGCCACCAGATTTGGAACAAGCTCTAGTCCCCTAGACTACTAAAAAAATATTTAAAAAATTCTATCTGTCAAAAAATTTTGACATTTATTTTTTGACATTTGACATCTTTTTATGTCTATTTAATAATACTGATGATCTTGTTTGTGTTTTTTTTTATAATTATTTGGTAAAAGTACAAAAATTTTTGCTAATAAAAGCCACAAATAACATTAAACAGATTTACAATTTAGAATACAGCTTCCTTGTTTCCTCTTCTAATAGCTTGTAGCAAAAAAACTTGAAAATTATTTTTCCAACTGAAAAAATACAATCAAAGTGCAAAATTTAAACTCTCATAACTTCTAAATCGTTATAGATAGATTTTCTTAGACATTTTTCTTGTTATCTAGAGCATCGCCTAATGATATAGTGTCACGAAAGTGCGCGACTTTCCGGACATCTTGTATATGTATGTACTCTGTGTTATTAATTTAATTTAATCTAACAATAATTCGCTGAAGTAGCAGAGCGCGAGATTTAATGGTGACATATTTATATTTTATTGTTAAAAAATCTGGAGAAACTTTTCCAAAAATAGAAAACGTTTCTGTAAAAATTGAAATAATATTTAAATTTGGCATAGTTCTAAAATTACCTTATGTAACAATCAAGCAATTTATCATTGACTTTCCTTTTGCATTTAAGTGCATTTTTAAAAAAAATGTCTGGAGTAAAATATAAATTTTTGACTTTGCAACACAACCTCATCAAGTAATGTCAGCGAAAGCGTTAAAACGTGTCACCGGAAAAATACGTCCAGTTTCCGTTTTCTACAATAAAATTTATTGTGTGAAAAGCATTCATGAATCGACAATTCTTTTCGGTAGTCATGCAACATTATATTATCTATATTTTATTTATATTATAATAAAGCATCTGAACGCAAGCGACGACTCATAATTATGAATCTTTTAATTAAAAAAGAAAATAATTATAATATTTACATAATTTATATTGTCATTTCGTTAAGTAAGAATGTTTCAAAAAATAATATGTAACGACGTTCCGTATAACGAAACTAAAAAATAACTATTAAAATTAATTTCTGTTTGGTTAATCAAAACATAATTGTTCAACGACCCGACAAAGATTAACTTCCTTACTTATTTTAATTTTACACGTGACTGCCTAACTAGCTAATAGACGCATAACACATGTTTGGAAAAATTATTAATAACTATTACTTACAAAATATTCTAATACACAATAAAAATGTTTTCGTGGATAGTCAATTTTGACAAAAAATTTTTAATAATTTACATTTCCCAGGATGAATGCGACCAAAGTTATTTCCTTTCAAAGAAACTGAGACGTGTAATGTAATAAGAGCTCGTCATTTGCTCTAATTTATATTTTTATACTTCATATGGTAAGCCTTTTACAAGCGAGAGAAACACGTAAGTTTCGTTATTTGGAACTATTATTTTTAAGTAAAATTAGAATGCAATGTTCTCTCATAAATAAATGTTCCTAATAAAATATTACAAGCACATTTGAATTGTTTCCTAGCGGAAAAAAATTAAACACTGTTTTTTACAAAGATAAATTAAATCGTTGAAGATCTTCATTATGAGAGTATAGTTGATAATTAAATAAATTTCTTATAATTTCACATTAAAATTACGTACGTTGCAGTACAAATTATTATGATAATAAAATTGCCAATAAAAAAATTCTTTTACTTAATATAAATACTACTAAACACGTAAAACTGACTTGGAAGGTAATTAAAATGATTTCAATGCATGACTAAAATTATGATGTTCTGGTATTCTAAAACGAATAGAACCAATTACCATTTAAATAGACATCAAAATCACTGACAGTTTGTTTTCTTCACTCAATGAAAAAAGTTTCTCAAGATGTTCCAGCAGATAATCAAACAAATTGCTCTTTCTTCAAACCTTTAACATTCCTCAAATTAAGAAACTGCCGAAATTTCCTTTGATATCGCAACATTTTATTGTCAGTGTTCTAGTACAAATATTACTGTGTAAGTCACATGGCAAGATCAAGGGAAAGCGTTTCTTTACTGGTGGTAGGTAAAACTGGAGCGGTGGTTAAAATCTTCGCATACCTTTCACAAGTAAAACCAAGTATAAAATCTCACTCTTTTCCAGGACGATTCAGTCTAGTTCAGTCCTTTCGACCATCATCCTCTAAAACACCAACCATGCTGTTCTACATTGTAAGTAGAGTGATATAGTGATATTGTGATGAAAAAATTCTGTCCAGGTCTGTGCCGCCGCAATCTTCGTGGTAGTGAACGCCACTGGAGGCGGTGGATATGGCCATTTGGAAGAAGTTGGCTATGGACATGGGGGCTACGAGGCCCTGGGCGGATACGAAGGAAACGAAATTGGGCATGACGTTGGGGGTGGACACCATCATGAAGAGTTTGTTGATTATTATGTAAGTAGCAAAAAGCAATGTGTTCAGCTGGCATTAAACTTGACACAAGCACGTTATTCTGATTTATTGTGACGACAGATCAATTAAGTCAGGTGCAGAATTAATTTAACTGTGGAAGTACATTGCATATCTTAAGTCATGATTTATTAATTGACAGATATAAAATATTGTATAATCAAATAAATTTGGGTTCGAAGTTGACACCGAAAAACAAAATTGTAGTCACTATTTACCAATTGAAAAATAATTAGATCTGTAAATCGGAACTTTTACAGCTTGTGGCACTTCTGTTTTTGAAAAAGCTCATCTGATAATTGGCAGAGTTATTTTGAGTTTCACAATTGATAATTTTCTTGAATCTTGAAAATAAAGACTCAAATTTTGTTTCCCAAAGTCCACTTAGACCACAAAATTATTTGATCATACGATATGTCGTACAGGGTGAATATAAAGTATAGAGGTTTTTCTTAAATGATTTGCTTCCAGAAAATAATAGTTAATATAAATTAAAGTAATATAAAAATTATGATCGTATTTTGAGAACGAAATTTTGTTTTGTAATCCTTAGATCACAACCTTTATGAGAAAAATGGTTTTATAGTGAGTTGCCATTTAAAAAAATTAAAAATCTAAAAATCTTGTAGAACTAAAAAACAAAACAAAAATTCGAACAAATGATTTTTATAGAACTTTATCATTTATCAACTAGTTTTTCCAAAAAATAAATAATTTAAGCAAAAAACGTTTGGTTCCATACTTCTTATTCACTGGTATGAAAATACAATGTTAATGTAAAAAAAAATACATTGCAACTGAAAAATGATTGCAGATTATTTCAAAAAATTATTTTAGCTGGTCACAATAATTTTGTCAGCTACTATTACTACTTAAAAAAAAAACAATTAAAAATATTTTATGAATTCATAATTTTCAGTGAAAAGGTCAATAGACTTCAATTCAATATGCATTGCCTTGTTTTAAAAATACCTATTTTTTCTAAAAGTAATAATAGAAAAATATAGGTAATATTTTGCAATCTTATTTATAGTAGATAAAAATTTGAAAACAAAGGTTTATGTTAGACAAATTTAGCATAATTTTAATTTAGTAAAATTATAGCTATTAAAACAAAATTCAAAATATTTTCCAACCCTAAATCAGAAATTTTAATAAATTCAGAAATTGTTTTAAAAAAATTTGTCAAAATTGACAAAATGACAAGATAAGTGTATTTTAGGTACTTATAAAAACGTTGTGATTGAAGAGAAAAGCTTAAATGCACCATAGAAACAGTATAAGATATTAATATTGGCAAAAATAAATATTTGGTTGACTGTTTAAAAGTTCTTGTTTCTCAAAAAAAATAAAATACAGTAAAATAAATAAGTAAAAAAATCTTTATGCGTTTTGAAAATACGTAATTACATTTTTTGTTAATCAGTATAATTTTTAGCGAAAAAATTCCAATGTAAACCCAATAATTAAATGTTTGAAGTATTGTAATATCTAATTCGATAGTTGTTTAATCTACTTTTTTATTTTTTTTTTGTTGATTCTAGAAATGTGGCAAATTTAACTTGTGGCTTTTCATAAGGATTCTGCCATCTTTATTTTCCTTTTTTGTACAAAAAAGTGAAATCCTTTGTATAAAAAAAGAATCTGAATTATAACAAAACTCTTCTTCCAAGTTTAGAGCTAATAAACTCCACATTGTGAATTCATTTTCATTGTAATTCCTGATTTAATTCTCTTTATAAATTCAATACCATTGCATTCAAAAAACATATTTTTTTTACCGTCAGACATTACAAAAGCGAGTAATTTGCTTATGTTAATTCTCACGAATTTTTGTTAAAACTTGCGTAGTATGCAACAATTCACAGTAACGTCCGTTTATATTTTCTCATTGAAAACCCACTAATTTAAATGCAACAAACTGTTGATTTTTCAATGGCTTGTATACACATGTCACATTCCAGTTAGAAAGTGAAACAGTTGCGAAACCAGAAGAAAACAATAAACTTATTTCACTCTAAATTTATACGATGCACACGAAAATTAGACAGTTAATTAAATTAAATAATTTATTTGTCTGTGTTCAATTAATTAATTTAATTTGTTTTAATTAAAGGTTCTATCTCACAGTGGTAACAAATGATAGATTTCTTGATAAAAAAATCATAACAACAATTGTGTTTTACCAAGTTGAAAAATTGTTTCTCAAGCCTCTTCGGGCTTTCTCTTGATAACTTCCTGTCGCTAAATACGTCAATGTATTTTCTTGTTTTAAGGAAAACCGTGAAGTAAAAGTATGTTGTTGTAGGCTCATCCCAAGTACCACTACGATTATGCAGTCCACGATTTGCACACCCATGACATAAAAAGCCAATGGGAGACGAGAGACGGTGACAAAGTCAAAGGCGAATACACTGTTGTCGAACCTGATGGTTCCAAAAGAATCGTCCAATACACCGCCGATAAGCATAGCGGATTCAACGCCATTGTTAAAAATGTCAAACCTGGATACTAAAACGCGCCAGAATATCTAATTTATTGAATCTAGCTTAAGTTGTTGTATTTTTAAATGTTTAATTTGTTGAATTCGTCTATTACGAACCTCATCATCATTTTGCCATAACCACGTGATGTGTACAGATACTCCACCTGTGTTCATGGTAATCATTGTCATCACACTTTTTTATTTTTGTATTTTGTTATTAAGTTAAGATACTTATCAGTATTTTTGTACAATTCTAAGCTTGCAATAAAAAAAAGTTAATATTTTGCGTAAATTGATCGATTTGTGATAAGAATGGAGTTGTGTAAAAGACGTGATCGTCTAGCGTAACTACAAACGCTCCAAAACGATAATTAGGAAATAAATGAAAAAGTGAAATGGATAAGCGGCCATTAAATCTAGAGAAACATTAATTTTCTAGTAACGAAACACATTATTTACGTAATACTGCACATTTGGAAAAAAAAACACTTCTGGAATGTGGGTGCTTAGTGCTGATTTAAATTTTTAAGCAGCAGAATGATTTTGTTATTCAATATGTAATACAATATTCTCCGTTAACTGCACTACTTCCTTTATACATTTGTGGGAGTTAATTTTTCTATAAATGATTTTTACTGTGTAAGGATATTATAGTCGTATAATTCTCGCATTAAACAAATCCTTACCGACTTCCTCGCTTCATATCTGATGTGGTATAAATTATTAAAGTCTCATTACTACACTTTCGGTTTAATGAAGCGTAAAACATCCACGCGGATGTTTGAGCAACGTTACCTTTGCAAAATAGTTTATTACCATAAACGAATAAGTTTGGTCATTTCTTTATTTTATTAGATGAAAGAAACCTGGACATAAAGTTGAGTATTATTTTATTTCGAATTTTTAAGAAAGAATACATTTAAATACTTATTTTGATACACAGCTTGAATTTGTTTAAAAAAAAACACTATGATTTGAGTCAATTTTTACTTACATATTATACTTCTTAAAAGTTTTGTCTGGTCTAAAATATACAACATGTATACATACTTATAGATCTTGAAATAGTATGCAAAATTTTGAAGAGTACAACTTACTGGTAACTCACTATTACAAAGGTTCTGATTGGAACTGTGTTTTTTATATTTCAAGTAGGTAACATTTTAAATTTTTACAAAACACACATAGAAAATGTTTTTTTTTAATCAAATACTAATTTGCATGTTAAGTAACAATTACCGGATAGTTTTTTCGATGAATCTAAAATTATTCGCAACGACTCAGAGATGTATGGAAATACTTACATATACAGTAAAGACGTTCTTGCAAGACCCACTAAAATTTTATTGCATTATTATGATGGATTAGCCAAACAATGGCTTGAATTTGTAATCCTTCATAAACAGCACGATCCCTTGCAAGTGTTGCTGAACCCTGTTGAAAACTGACCTGTTTCCTTCGTTTCTCGGTCCGGGTGGGTTCCACTGATTTATGATATGTTTACCCTCTGGTTTATTCTTAACAATACCGCGTTTAACTTAAAAGTAATAAAATTTTTAGTGGGTCTTACCCAAAAAACAAATTCCATTTACGCCTTTGATCCAATTTAAATTAGGATTTGCAAGTTGAGTCCAAGTTATCATCTTATGTCACTCTAACATCAGTGCAGAGAACAATCATTAGTTCTATGGTTGCTGATTACAGATTAGGATATGATGATAGATTTATTTTTTTAATGTGTGAAGTTAGTGGAGGTAGGTATGTATAAGTTCTGTTACCAACGTAGAAGGAAGAATCAGATTGTTCATCAGTGAAAAATTACGAAATTGTTTTATTCCATACCTAATAAGTACTCGTAACTAAGTCAAACATGAGTGATAGTAATGTAAATGTGAGCATAAACAAATATAGTACAAATACGTTAACAATTGAAAACAATTCAACAAGAAAAATAGAGCCAAACGACAAGCACATAATTGTCCGGAACGATCATCAATTACATTTGATGGAAGTAAAGAAGTATTTAAAGATAACTAAGACAACTATAATTCGCATTAATAGTAACAATGGTTATCTACGTAATTATACAAAATGAATATAAATAAATATGTTAATACCTATGTTTTCATCAGACATAACTATGCTGAGTGTTCCGTTTTTACTGTTACAAATTTAAACAGTTGATAGAATATTCAATTTTAAGATAAAAGTTTCCTATGCACATGTATTAAAAAATATATGTAAGCGAGGTACACTCTCTGAAAAAGATGCGTTCTTTAATGGGGTTTTCCCACTATTGCAGAATAGATATTCTTGGAAATAAGTTATAAAATGATCAGAAATATTTGGTACATTATTTAGTTTTTGCACCTAAATAAGTATATTATTTTTTTTGAAAAACAAATTAATTTTTAAACCTTTCTGACTCTTGAAGGTAATATCCATAAGTCTAAGAAACGTTATAACTGCAAGTAATAACTACAAACTACTCTTGATCTATAGGTTTTCAATTGTTGTATTATTGTTACAATTATTGTATTGTACTATACAATGTAGGTATAAAAACAGCCAAATAAAAATTACCCGTCTTTAACAAGCGCAAAGAAAAATGTACGTAATAAATTAAGTTTTTAGTTTCAACATTTTTAATAAAAATGTAGGCTTTTGGGTTATGATCAACAAAAGCATATACTTTGGTTAAAAAAATTGCAGGTGAAGTTGTCAAACTTGTCGATTTTTTAAAAAAAGTTTGCAATTACTTACTTTTAAACTTTGGAACCCAATGCCCACCAAAAAGTTGGCAATCCAGTTGACTAAAACCGCAATTGACATGGCAGCCGGCCGAGGTCCTTGCGAAAAGAGTTCGGCGGTGATCATCCACGGTATCGATCCGGGGCCAACGGCAAAGAACACAACGAATCCCAACGTTGAAACCACAGACAGATACGACATCCAGTCTATCATCTCCTGCACGTATCCAAAAAACTCCTATCAGGCAGTAGTAATAATGTTCTTTCCCGACAGGGAGGAGTGACCGCGATCGGACAAAATCATAATAAGGATAAGTGTCCCACTACAACAAGACCGAACGTCTTCAAACTCTCAAGAAGACGTCCCGTCCAAGTGTTTGCATGCATTGTGTTTCGAGTGTGTTTAAATCTCGGCGTGCGGGTGGCAGTGGTGTAGGTCATAGGCGAGGTATTTACAGCGTCCCTCCTCCACCATGTCAGGAAAGTCGTCACATACAGACAGGGCGAGGCATAAGAAGCGGGTGAGATGTGGAAGCAAACACAGGAAACCAACATTGAGTAAATACAGGACTTTCACACCGGGAACTGATGTCGCAAAGCGTTTACAATGGCTCTTTATAAACTCAAATGGAGAAATCTCTCCCTTCAAAACCCATTCCAAAATTCACAACAATCCTTTTGTGAAAATTTATTTTAAATTTAAAAGTAAATTGTTATTTCCTGTTACCGAAAAGATGAAGAAAGAATTTTTACAGATTATATTCTTTAGGCCAAAAACGAACTTTAATATTTATCATTGCTTATTTTTCAAAATTATTATTGACTTTTTCAGTTAAAAACTAAAACTTTATTTCAGTATTAAAATTTCTGACAAACTTAAGTTAACTTTTTTGATTTTGATACTATAATCAGTAACACATAGTTACTGTAGATTTTAAATAATTCTTGTAAAACGCTTATGATTCATAATTACGAGAGTCTACAAATGGAAATTCTACACGAAAAACATAATAGAAATGTTAACAACCCATTAAAATAGCGACTTTTATTCGCTGCATTAATGACAGGTTTTTAATGAATACGAAAAAAGATAAAAATAAAAAGTTTATGGCGCATTATTTTCAGAAGAAAGAAAAAAGTTTAATTCAATTGCTTTCCATGGAAATTAAGTTTGAAAAAAGTACTGAAACTCATTAAATTAAAACTCAAGTATGAAACTAACATTGAATGAAAAGGCTTTTAAATGAATAAGCAAATGCGAGGTGTTGCAAACAAAAAAGAAACATGCGGGGGTTCGTTTCATATTATTTCCTGCAAAAATTGCATTCATTATTTTAAATACGTTTTTTAGAAAAGAGTAAAAATGCAATTTTTACAGTGCCAAATAATACACCAACAAATAATTTATTTTAGTGTATTACTTGAATATCTATTTCAATATTGTCAAATAAATTATTTTTTGGTGGTCCAGCAGCTGGTGCCAGTTTATACAAACCGGTAAGAAATCATTTTTTGTAGAAAGATTTCTTATTAAACTACTGTCATCCTTTAGCTCTCCATTAAAAAAAATTGCCTTTTGCACAAATTACACACTTTTGAAAACAACAAGAGGCAGTCAGCCCCCACCGTATGTTCGCCGTCACCAAGGAAAGTTGATGAACCGCCAACAAACCAACCTTTATTAAAAATGAGATCGTGATGAATATCGAAAAGATGAACATGCCACCGAGGCCGTAAAGATGCAACGTCCGTCTGCCAGTCTTGTCCATCAGAGGAATGGAAACTAGCGTCATGACCACCATGATGGCTCCGATGCCGATGGTGGCAAATTTGGCGCTTTCTTCCGTTAGCCCTGAGCTGACAAACAAGCTCGTCGAGTAATAAAACACCTAAAACTGTGTGTGAGAGAAAATCGGGTCTGGAAACGTAGTAAAATTACCGCGTTGATCCCCGACAGCTGCTGCGAGAGCTGCATCACGACGCCGATGATCAAGGGCGCTCTCAACGTCGGCGAACAGATCAGCTCTAGCATGCTAATGGAAGCTTCGGCCTGTTGTGCGCGTTCCTCCGCCCGCATCTCTTCGATGTCTTCTTCGACTTGGTTGCTCGCCCTCAACCTCCGCAATGCCTTCCGCGCTTCCTCCTCCCACTGCTTGGTGATAAGCAAGTAGCGCGGACTTTCCGGACAAATTGGAAGAAGTACTAATTGAAGTAAGGCAGGACACACGGCTAAGCCAAGTAGTAGAGGCCAACCGTCGTTGGTACCGAGAATTTGTTCGATACCGAGCACTTGTGATAACAGAAGACCCACTGTAACCGCTAACTGGTTCACTGTCCCAAGACCACCACGTAAATTTAAAGGAGCTATTTCCGATATATACATAGGTACTAAGGATGTGTTCAGTCCTGCAACAAAAAAGCCGTCATAAACATTTTTTTAATTAAATTTAAAATGTCAATATTTTCATCATTTGTGCTACTTTCTCTATAAGAAAAATTTTGCTGTCATGTTAGACAAGCGTCATTAATTTCCAGTATGTGCTTCATTGACATTTCTTGTTCTTAAGAAAAAGTCATGTGAAGTTCAAGGATACAATGTGTAACTCACCACAATTGACCCCTATAATAAATCTCCCAAAAAATAGTATTTCATATGAGTTCGCTAGTTTGGTGCACCACATTAAGCACGCCCCAGTTATTCCCAGAACGTTGTTCAAAAGCAGCCCGCCTTTCCTAAAACAGAAAGTAAAATCGATTATAAAAGTAGAACTGAGTTTTGACAAAATTAGCTACCTTCCGAATTTGTTAGCTACCATTCCTCCGCCGAAGCCACCTAACATACCACCTAACGCAAATATGGACACGGCAATGGAGTAGAGGCCCCGTGCAGAATCATCAGATAGGTCTTTCCCATACCTCGTCTTGTACACATCTTTCATAAAGTGTTCTATGTTCTGTTCTGGCGCGTTTATCACTCCTGTGTTGTAACCGAACTGCAACATGCCCAGGACCGCCGCCAGGATCGCATACGACAGGAAAAATGTGAGGTCCTAGAAAAATATAAAAATTCATTAATAAAAAATGCAAAATAGCAATAAACGACTGTGATTAACAAAGCAACAAGGTCGTCTTATTAATCTGATTATTGTTAGCCCTTCGTTGGGAGTAAAATTTACACGGTGTAAAGTTAAAGCTATTGTAATTTTGTAATTTAAACAATATAGGGTTAGGTGATATAGCAGAGGATGTATACATCCACCTGAACCTCGCCCTATTTATATGCAATTACCACCATAAAAGTCAATTATTAGTATTATTATTATTAAGATTATATAATCATAATTTTTATACAGGCTGTATTATGAAAAACGCCCCAAGCCATAACTCCATTGTTTTTAAAGTTATGACAATACTTCTTAGAACAAAGTTGAACATTTTTTGTCATCTATCGTTTGGGATAGATGCTAAATTAATGCTGTTTTCTGTTTCACCGGAAATGACATCAACTTTTTTTTTATGGAACAACCTGTATATTTTACCACTTTTGGATTCTTTGTTTAATTTGTCTTTTAATAAGTTTTAGTACCATGTGCCTAAAACCAACCGTTTGTGAGATATTCACCAAATAATGTATTTATTAAAGTAGGCAGTGGAAAACAATAATATCAAGTAATGTTGACAAATATTATTCCTTTGCATTTTCTCTTACTGTTTTTATACCTTTTAATGTTACTCATGGATGATAATGTGTTAACAGACATATTTTGAATAAAACAAAAWTTGTGGGAGAGCACTACGCTACGGTGATTTCTGATKAGAGACGTTCCAAATCGTCGAAAATTTAATCGACTTAAAGAAAACTTGAGGATGTTTTGGGCTTTTAGAAAACCCAAATTAAAACATCTCCAATTTCAAAGAGATACAGAATTAGATAGGTATTGAAGAAAATTGCAAGTAACGTTGGCTGTCTAATTAGGGTTTTCTAAAAACTCCAAACATCATCAAATTTTCTTCAGGTCAACGAATAATATTAAGTAATGTTGACAAATATTATTACTTTGCAATTTCTCTTATTATTTTTATACTTTTTGGTGTTCTGGTAATAATGTGTTAACAGACATGATTCAAGAATATTTTGAAAGCAATAAAAATAGTTGGAGACCACAACGCCTTTACACTGGGCGGTTTCCAATAAGAGAAGTTCCAATTCGTCGACCTGAAGAAAATTTGATGATGTTTGGAGTTTTTAGAAAACCCTAATTAGACAGCCAACGTTACTTGCAATTTTCTTCAATACCTATCTAATTCTGTCTCTTTGAAATTGGAGATGTTTTAATTTGGGTTTTCTAAAAGCCCAAAACATCCTCAAGTTTTCTTTAAGTCGATTAAATTTTCGACGATTTGGAACGTCTCTMATCAGAAATCACCGTAGCGTAGTGCTCTCCCACAAWTTTTGTTTTATTCAAAATATGTCTGTTAACACATTATCATCCATGAGTAACATTAAAAGGTATAAAAACAGTAAGAGAAAATGCAAAGGAATAATATTTGTCAACATTACTTGATATTATTGTTTTCCACTGCCTACTTTAATAAATACATTATTTGGTGAATATCTCACGAACGGTTAGTTTTAGGCATATGGTACTAAAACTTGTTAAAAGACAATTAAACAAAGAATCCAAAAGTGGTAAAATATACAGGGTGTTCCATTTAAAAAAATAAAGTTGATGTGATTTCCTGTGAAACAGAAAACAGCATTAATTTAGCATCTATCCTAAACGATAGATGACAAAAAAATGTTCTAAGAAGTATTGTCATAACTTTAAAAATAATGGAGTTATGGCTTGGGGCGTTTTTCATAATACAGCCTGTATAAACAAATACTCGTTCAAAATTATAAACATAATGAGATAAGTGTTGAGGAACATGAAAACTTTTTCTTAAAGTGGTGTTTCTTACTACACAAATTTTAAAAAATAACCATTTATTTAACAGTAAATAATAGTATATTAAGTATTAAGAACGGTAAGGACATTTTATCTGTAAGAAAAAAAGTTGTGAAATTAGTGAAAAAATTACTGAAACAAAAACTACTGAAGACGTCGGAGGGTTGAATTCAACAACAGTTTCTGTTAGCGCTACTACCAAAGAAGCCACCGGAATTATAATTAGTAATTGTAGTGGTTGTACACTTAATTTTAATATGAAAAATTTGTTGAATTATAATGTTCATAATAATGTTTATCTTATCAATAAATGTTTTGTGGATTTTATCTGATTAATGTTTGAGATTACTTACCGTTCTAAAACGGTAAGTAATTTACTTACCGTTCTGTTTATCATAGAAACCAGTAAATACAACATACCGGTCTCGAAACAAACGCGGTAACTAACTAAAAGCATTCTATCGTGCAAAAAGTATAATACAACCTTGACTACGATAAAAATACAATAATTGCGGCGTACCTTCTTTTATATTTATTAAAAAAAATTCATGAAATACAAAAAATTTATCCAACATGACTATATAAAAAAATGAGAAAAAATTATTATTACCAAAACAATCTTTATCCTAATAACGTAATAAAATATTAATTTACAACTCTCAAAACAACCCAAAACATATTGAATGTTTTATTTATGTACCTATGTAAGTAACATTGATTTCTAAATATTTTATACATTATTGATATCTTACCATAACATTACCGAGAAAATTTTAAATCGCAACGCCAAATACCGATCACTGCCACTCTAGTAACAACAACAGTGAGTAATGGTTTATTTATTTGATTACTCATAAAAAATTAAATTAAAAGTAAGTAAGTACTTTTGAAATAAAAATAAGTATGTAATAACGTTCACCATTCCTCGTCATTAGTATTGTGTTAGTCATTTGTTTCTTTATTTATTTACAACTACCTATATTGATCACTTAACAGAATAATTTAGCAACATAGCCAAGAAGTCCATTATAAATTATTTAAAAATTATTAGACTCGTAATATGTCTTTAAAACTTGTAATTTAGTTTGTACTGTACAGTCTGGTTGTTTCATTAATACAAGTTTTAATAGCAGGTTTCATTCAAAAAGATATTTTTAGAGCCGATGTTAATATATCCGCGTCGATTTAGGATTTAAAAAGTGCTAATAAAAAATAAAACAGCTGTCAGTTTGTTTGATAAATAATAAAAGTCATTAATGTAGCTTTTCTCTCTGTGCTTTTTCAATGGAAAAAAGCTCTGTTTTCATAAAACATGCTAATTGTGGAAAACAAAGTAAACTAAATTTGCAAAAAACCTTGCAACTACTGACGGTCAATTAATTACAAGTTTTAAAAAATATTTGGAAAATCCTTATAAGGGAATCAATTTTAAAAATTGCAATCGGCAATATCTCTAGAACTAAAAAAGTTATTGAGAATCACTCAAAACCGTTTCAATGGTTCCTAAGAGGAATCAAAGTGACATGGCAAGCAACGCACCTCCACCCACGTGCAACTTTTAAAACTGACACACTGTTAAGCACTTTATTCCCAATTATCTTGAATCTTTTACTTGACAGACAGTAAATTTGCCGCAAATTTTAATCTGCTTAATAAGCTAGACATCGCGCTAATAGTTTCGAAAAGTCTGCTTTTTAAATTTTAATTAATTTTGAAAACTAATAATAAATACCTAATTAAAAATAAAGCCAAGTGAATATTATTTTATTAAAATTAAGCTTTACCTATACTAAAAGTTCCACGCAATCATTGCTAATGTTTGATTTAAGTTTCTTTTATCATACTTAAATCATTCCTTAAAACTGTTAATTCTTTGATAAATTTGATTGGCTTTTATGTCCTCATTAAACAGAAATTGGGTAATGACACGCAACTCCCGAATATGAAACATCACTTAACTAGATAGTTTGGATATAACACGACAAACAATCATTAATCAGTAAGATTGGTTGACACACCTGCGACAAAATACAAAAAATTCTTTTCAACAGCTTTTCCTTTCAACTTGATCAATTCAAGTAAACCCAAATGAAAATCATCGAGTGATAAACTCGTTTGGAAAAGAGGAGCACCAACCTGCTCGAGCAGCCGCAATTTCCTGCGCTGCGTGTGCTCCTCGAGCCGGTCCACATACTCTCTCAGCTCCTCGATTTCCTCCTTAACTTGCTGCACAGTGTCGAGCTCGTGCTTGATGGCAACCATATCCCTCTTAACTTCTGATACTTCCGACTGACAGGACTCCACCGACTTGGTGAGTTCCTGCAGCTGCGATCTGATCTCACAAAGAGCGACTGTTGTCTCCAAATGTCGATCTCCACGTTGGAGCTCGTCCAGTTTGGCGCTCAGATTCATACTCATCACGCTCACCTGTTTTTGCAGACTGCGGCATAACAGTACGTGGAAAAAAGTAAAACGTGTCATTAATTCGAATCGTGAGACAACACTCAACGACAAACAACATGCTGGGTGCTCTCTTGGGCATGCAGAAGGATCCACGTGACTTCTTCAACATAAAATGCCACATTCATGTTCTGAATTTGATTTTCTCTTGCGATGCATTTTACTTTGTGATTGATTTTTCTTCGGTTCAACATCGAGTCGAGTGCCGGGGTATGACATGCACGTGCCGCGAATTGTAAATTATTAATTACTACACTCTCAAAATGTATGTTAAGTTAACACGTTGATTGTTGAATGACTGATGATAGCATGCACAAAATGTTATGATTTCAAGACAAGTTGAGAAGAGCACAAACACGAAGACATGCATGAAGCAAGCACCTACTGCAAAAGCTGTATACCTGGGAGGCAAGGATACCATGGCTGTGTTCCAAACTACAGTGGACACCTCCCCAGGTATCCTTTAACCCTCCAAAAATCCCCTTCACTTCTTCTAGTTACTAATCTACGCGCGGTGTTCGACTGCGACGCGGCATCTTGATGGCGTTTGACAATCTTCCACCTATAGTTTGGAAACACAGCCCGTCAGGGAGCGTGCTCTTAACTTAGTTTAGGTGCACTAACACATTGCTACTGACCACAGATGATAGCAACAGCTACAAAATACCTTGCACGATTTAATTTTGACCAAAATTACTAGAAATCGGTCCAGTCACTTGAAATTTGCGACTGCTTGGATGCTGAACTTCAGCCGCTTAAGCAGGATGGAGAATCGTCAAGATAACAAATTGGCTGAAAAGCATCAAGTTGGACGAACTGGTCCATCACTTGCAAGAAAATTTGTGTCATGTGTCGTACAGTGTCCTATGAAGCTTATTTGCTAAACCTTGCACTTAAAATCTCAGGTTTTCAAAACTTTTAAACTGCAGAATTTAGAAAAAATTAAACATGAGATGCAAGAAAACTTAATTTTATAGAATTCTTGTGTACAATACTTTCAAAGAGCACAGGAAATTCCTTTTCCATGAAAATTACAATTTTGAAATTCGTTTTTTGATACTAATTTTATTGTACGACTTTTCGTAATTTCTCTATTTAGTGTTCTTTAATTTGGAGATGTGTTTTCCGTGTTTGTCACAGACATTACTTTAACAGCTTGTAAACTATTTTCTGTTTCTGACGTAAGTATGTTAAAGTTGGAAATTTAATCGAATACCAGAAATTGCAAGTTTTAATGAAAATTGGAACAAATTTTATTATTAAAGCCATCTCCTGTGGTCAGTTAATTTGAAAATATTGTTTCGACCATACACGTAATATTAGTGTGGGTCAAGAAACAACACACAAACAATGGCGATGATTAAAATTATGAGATGATGTTGGAGAGTGTATTATAAGGTATTGAAAAAAAATATAATGTAAAAATCAAAGTTTATTAAAATAAGTAAATAACAAAAAATATATAAATAATACATTGGATCAACACGTAGCAGAGTGTTTTAGTTTTTATATTGTGAAGGTGGAAATTTGTAGTTGTAAAAATTTACATAAAAGAAAGGACTGTTGGTAATTTGTAACAAAATTCATACTGTCATACTGTAAAATAAGCCTGAAATTAAGCTCCTTGGCCCCATTTTTAGTTCGGTAAATGAGCCATTACGGTATCAAAGCCGGTAAAAGTATAACAAAGCAACACTTACCGAATTGTTATTTTTGACAAAATAAAACATCAAAATATTTAATTTAATAAAATTAATTTAGTATTTTTTTTTGCTACTTGTAGTTAAAAAAAAACTTATACATAGAAGTTTTTACTACTGCTTTTTTGATCAGGATATTTATGACAAAATAGCATCAGAAAGTAACGGAGAAATGTGAAAATTTTAAACCTAAAATTGCACAACTGTAGCAGTAAACTCTAAATAGTTATTCAATAATAGCAATTATTAAAGTCTCAACAATTAAAAATTAAAATTAATTAAAGATAATGATTTAATATATATTTATTTCAAAATATGATCCCATAGCCAACACTGTACATTTAATGTAATTTAATTTAGAATTCTTACAAATAAGAAAAAAATTGCTTTGTGCTACAACAAATCCTTTCGTTTATGCTTTTACGTAATTACCAAAATCGTCGGTAAGAAAAAGGTAAAATAAATATAAAAGGGTAGGAATTAATGAAGTTGAGAAAGCAACGAAGGTAAGAAGTAGAAAAGTAGTATGGTAAGTGTATGCGCTGGGGTGTACCTAATAAGCAGCTCTCTGAGAGTGGCTTCATCGTCCTCTTGTATTTCTTTCTTCGTCTCATCACGCGCTGTTCGCGGGCGCGTCTGGGTTTGCGCAGGGCGGCTGCGGGCGGTCAGCTTGAGCGTCTCCCTTGCTTTGGACTCCGCATCGGAGCCCAGATCATGTTCCTCCACCTCGACTACCTCCGCTGAAACTGAAAACGACGCCATCATTATGCAACTCATGCACGCACCGGCATGTCCAGACTGAAAGCTACAACTTTTCTACCCACACCTCTACGCTACTACGCAGGAGAAAAATTTCAACAATTATTATTGTCACAATAAAAAAATATTTATTTTAATCAATTTATTAAGAAACAGTAGAATGAAAGACTGACTCAATTTTATGTCAAAAAGTTTTTAAATCCGGCGATTTTGCTCTCTTAGGACCATTCCAACGTAAAACAATAAAAATTTAAAACTCATAACAAAGTTTACTATATTTTGAAACATTATTTAAACTTGATTTAACTAGTTTATATGGGCCACGATGATTTTTGTTGGTAGGATTTGACACCGATTTGGCCGTCCCATGGCCCAAAATATAGAAATTTGATGTTACATGTGATTAATCTGGAAACATCATATTTTGTAACTCATTCCAAATAACAAGTAACAATTGCCTATAGCGAAACGTAAATAGTAGTAGATTTTTTCAAAGATAAAAAATAAAGGCCAGATTAACTCACAAGTGGGTGAAGGTTCCCGTTCAACTTAATCGATTATCTGGCTACGAAATTACTCTTGCTTTCGGATTACAACACTTTTTTGCATAAAAATGTATTGTGTTAAAAATTCCTCATCAACTTCAATAAACTTTAAAAAATATACTACTTTAGTTTAAATTAGGAAATAATAATAAAGCTCTATTTAGCTTTCTAAATAAAATTTTTGGCGTGACTAGCTCGAAGCACATTTTGCAACACCGCCACGAGTTCTTTCAATCCGGTCGGCCCAACAAAAACCGGTATTTTTCATCCACCCTTTCCGGCAAAAAGCTCTTTTCAATTTGTTGTTAGACACGCAGAACAAAACGCGCCGATACAATCTACCGTCCTCGTATAATTATAATTTCGTGGCGAGATAAATCGGTGTTGGTAAAGTCCTCTTTTTTGACGTTTAATCTCGATTAGGGTTTTATTATTGGCGATGCGGTCGGCAATCTGTTCCGATTAAGTGTTAGTTCCAATATTTGCTGCCGGTATCGGATTTCGGTCGGTAACAAGCGACTGTGATAGCCTCCCCCTTGCCAAGTGGCCATAACTGACCCCCCGAACTTTATATATTAATTATCATTACGGTGGTCTAGAAACTTGGCTCCATTAATCAGTCGGTGAGCGGGACCGGAGGGAATCGAACCCAGGTGCACACTGTTATCTACCATCCGATAAACATTAACGCCGTCGTCGTGGGAATCGCGTTTATTGCTCATTCCGCAGAGTAGACGCGGGGCCGCGGGTACCGTAAACAATTTTTGCCATACCTCAAATGCCATTGACGAATTTAAACAATTGAGACGTCGCTCCGATACATAAACTAGAATAGAGTGCTGGCGAGGGACGCTTATTTTCACCATAAACTATGCTCTTTGAATTTCTCCGCAAAGGACATAAAATTGAGTTCCCATGACAAAAAATTGTTTAAGCATTTTTTCACGAGATATGTAGTAGCAAAAATGGCAGATCTTGCAACATTAAACAGATACCAGTTGAAAAAAAAAAACAAATTGTGTCTTATGGTGTACAAAACATTTAACAAACTAGCAAATTCAACAATAAATTAAATCCGAGAATATCGAAAACAAAAGATCTAAGATGCCTACATGATAATATGGCGATTGACAATTTTGTTTTTTCTCAAAAAAAGGCTTGAAGAAAATCTGAATCCATTTTTGTGCTGAGCTGAAAATCTTCTATCACCATTCGAGAGTTGGTCTGACACTTTTAAATCATGTAATATACATTAAATAAAAAAATGCAGAACTCAAAAACAAAAGAAAATTTTGGCAAATGTTATTTTTGATAAAACGTCACATTTTTATAGTACCTAATTTATAATTTATCAATTAGCTTTTCCAAAAAATAGATAGTTTAAGCAATCCTTTTTATACTTTTTATTTACCTAGTTTAGTAGAGCAAGAGCCAGCGGTCGCCAGACCTTCGCCATTTTATAAAAGCTGAAAATTTGTCAGCGCATACTTAGCACTTAGAACTGTGAAAACTGTCTGGCTAATGAGAAAACATCTTCTAATAGTTACCCAAGTAACGTGTATAAAATTCAGCTTTTACACTATAACGTAAGTACAGTTACAATTTTTTAAAGTTTAAGGGTGTCTGACTAGGGGTTGCCACGAAGTTAAGTGTCTGGCAATGGATGAGGTGATTTCTAATATTATTCCGAACAAAATATAAAAAATTACGCTTTTTTATTTGATAATTTTAAGTTAACATTTTTTACTTCTTTGCTACCTGTTATCTCCCAAAGCCACGATGACCCAAACTTCATACTTGCCCATCGTTCCTACCTGTGTTGGAAGTATGCGCTGACAAATTTTCAGCTCTTATAAAATGACGAAGGTCTGGCGACCGCGGCCTCTTAGACTATAGGTACTCGTATGCAACAATTATTATAAGCTTTATGAAAATGCCCTTCTTAAAAGGTCAAAACTAGAGCCTGTTCGGAATCTGGTGGCGAACTGCCGTTGTCAATAATGACTGAATTTTGACACTAAACATATGTTTACTATTAAAAAAAATATTGTTCACAGACGTCGTAATAAAATGTATTTCAAAACCACTGTGATTCTTTGAAAAAAATATAATAAGTAGATACTCATCCATAAGATAAAGAATGATGAACAAATTATTAATTTGTTAACGCATGAAAATAATTTTTAACAATGATATTTCTAACAATCCTCGTCCTCAAAATTACTAAAGCTAATTTTCCTTTCATCGCTACTATCGTCGGTTATGATAAGTTCATTAACGATTACATCTAAATGATTTTCCCGGTTGCAAACTCTTGCAAAATGACAGCTAAGAAAATTTTAGAGAAAAAAATGCACGCCCATGTATTTCATTATCTTAGCCAAGTAGGCACATTCCAAGTGCCGTTTCTGTTACTGTAAGTTCGCCACCAGATATGGAATAAGCTCTACATATCCACACCCCCAACGAAAACTATAGTAACTCAAAAATTACAGTTTTAAGAAAAATTGCATTGAATCTTTGATTGTTAATAAAAAATCAAGGAACTGTTTAATATTATTGAAAATTGCTAAGGGACTAAGTTTTGGTAACAACATTGTTTATTCAAAGACATTTTTTTTCTCATTGTTTGTGTATTTTAGGCTCTACATAAGCTATCGTACTTAAAAACCAATTTTTATGAGTTACTATAGTTTTAGCTATAGCTATCGCCAGTTCTGTCACTTTTCACAATGGTTTTTTTCTATATGAAACAGTAAAACCTCTTGGCTCAAAATTTCTCAACAGAATTTCGTTATAAGACAGATTCTTCTTTTATACAGAAATCAAATGTTTTTGACCTATTTTACCTCAAAAAACACAGTTGCGATGTTGCCAGTGAGGCGATAGCTGTGTTACAAGGTCGAAACCTTTCTATAGTCTCTTTTTACAGGACACTTTCTGTATGTACGATAGAGTGGAGCTACTTGGTTCTAAATTTGTCAGTAAGGGTTTAATTGTAACATAAATACTGCTCTTACACAGAAATCAAATGTTTGTGACCTATTTTACGAGGTAACCAAAAAATGTAGTTGCTATGTTGCCAGTGTCGCAATAGCAAACTCCCGAAACACACAAGTACTTTTGTCATTTTGTTTTTATTTTTATGATTCATTTAAAGATGGTCAACAATTTATTTTTTTCTTGTTTTAGTCATCAGAAATCAAGCAATACTGAATAACATTTCTGATGTGTGTCATCACTGATCAGTAACAACTAAATCTATTAAAGGTACTTTTAAATAAATAGTTTTTCATTTCTAAGGCGTATTTATTATATTTTATTCCTTGTAGTAAATATTTACCATCTGTAGCAACTTATAATAATTATAAAATTTACTATAGCGCCAATACAACCTAAAAAAACTAGTTTTACCAGACTTTAAAAATAAAAAGTAACACCAGTTATTGTTTTCACAACAACTGTAGAAGTGCGTAATCTTAAATATGTAAGTGTTGTCGACTGCAGATGTCCTTTGTACATTCTTCATCAAAATTTGTAGATTAAGGTAACTTTGGAATTTAAATGTTACGCTTACGTGCTTAGTTCAATATCTTAGATTTTTTTTTCAACTCTGTATTAAGTCAATTTAAGTTTGTTATGAGTGTCGCCTACAAAGTCATTGTTAAGTTTTTTTTTTGTTAGATGTTTAAAGATTTGTTCGCAAAATGGATAAATCAGCACATTACATTTAAATTTGGTCCACAGATTTATACATACAGAGTGATTCACGAGGAATAATGAGCATGTCCAAACTTTCGATGCAACCAACATTACACTTGTCGCAAAATAATTTGCGAAGAGTAATGGTGGTTGCATCGAGAATTTGGTCAGGCTCATTATTCCTCGTGAATCACTTTGTATATCCACAGTGCATATAAAACTGTTTTGGTGTATTATGTATAAGTATACTTTTAATAATTTCTTTTATATGTACTCGTATGCAAGTAGTAAACAAAGAGTTTTTATGGCGGTGTTATTTAGAGTTGGATGGATAAGTAGATAAGAAGAATGACCGCAGTAATATTACAACTCCTTCAATCCACACTAGTTTTTTTATTGAAAAATTATTTTATAAGTATTTACCTGTATGTTGGGAGTCGGTAGTGGTGGTGAGGGTGTCGACGGACTCGCTGGCAGCCGGAGTGGTAACAACTGGTTGTTGATGGTCGTGTCGGTGGTGCGGACCGGCCGACTGTCTCATCGGTACTTGGCGCCCCGCCGGACTGCCGCCCGTGATCTACGGAGCTGTATACACCGCCACCGGTTAGTAAAAGCACAAACACAACATTAAGGATATAGAAACGGTACATACGTCCCTTGCCCACGATACAACCCCACAACCAAAATGCCAACCTCCAACAAAGTCGCCAAAAAGCCCTGCTTTTAATTACTTACTTATATTTCAACACCCTCACGAAAAGTACTCACTTCCAACAAGAACTAAAATTTTCAAGTAACAAAATTATATTTCTTCATCATTTGCTTTTGTTTTTATTATTAAAAATAACTTTAAAATCAAAAATAAAAATGTGTTTTACAGTAAAAAACAAATAAGCAAACTTGATTTTCCCGGCGCATCCACCAAATTAGCAAAAAGTAAATATGAGTGGAGAACTTTAAGAGTATTATATTTTTGACGACGCATTAAAAGGGTGTTTAAAAATGTTCAAAGTAATATGTTTAGAATTTAAATAGTTTTATCATTAATTTATTACGAGAGAAATTGTATTAATCTTGTCGTTTGTGTCAATATAATACAGCGATGATGTAGCGCATGCATATGAATAAAAAAATGGAATTCAGCAAATTTTCAACAAAACGCATTTGTCGTGGGGCAAGTATAAAGAGGCCAATTTTAATATTCAAAGTAGACGTCGGTGTCATGATATGTACTGGCGGCTGACGCACACCCAACCTAATTTACACATTTTACTTCAACGCAGCGAATTTCATACACGGCTGGAACGTTCCTCGGGAGCATTTTAATAAAAAGCCAGCCATATCTGCAACTGACAGTTTCCTAATAAACGATTACAATAAATTTTAAAGTTCGACAGTCACAAATAGTTCATTGCCAATTGTGCAAAAATCAAAACGTTTGTTTTTTAGTTTCGGCTCGTCAGGGAAAAAGTAAGCAGCGGGCGACGACCACTTGTGCATATTTCACCAATGCAATGTTCTGCTGAGAGATGAATTATTATGCCCACATTTTCAGTTAGGTACTCTTTGAAAAGCTTTTCCAATGCACTTGGCAAGCGTTTCTGTTATGCAAAAATGCATTGCTGACCAGGACCTTGTTAGGTCCTCACTATGAATCGAGTAAGAACGCATAAATTGTAGTGTTATAAAAAAAGCATAAAAATAAGATCCAAAATTCGCTTTTGTAAAAAAATTATTATGCCTTCTGTGTTATTGTTTGATACGTTTTGTTCAGTTTTTGTGCATTTGTATATCCATCTGCACAGTATAGAGTGGCATTTATCACACATGCTTTCGGGTTAATAAAAACTCTATTGAACGGATTTTATTGAAACATCGCCTCGGTTATTATTGCGAGCCTCGGCTGTCCATAATAACAAATATGTGTATTGACAGAATGACGTAATAAATGATCTCAATCAATAACGTTTTAGAGAGAACAGCTTTAGCGGAATAAAATAATCATCATCCACAGTCAAATGTGCTTCTACGTCAATGTCGTCAGTTATCTCGATTGCCTTATAATCCTATAGAATCCGTCGCCTTAATACGTCTTATCTGCTTTGTACTTGAAATTGTAATGTCCCATCAAAGCAACAATTAATTCCTTTTTATGACTTTTTCAAGCCACACAGTTTAGGATAGCAGTAAAACGTAGAAAACCGTCGGATTGGTTGGCGCCCATAAACCTTATCAGTCACAGTGGAACCACTTGAATCCCTTGCTTGTCTTACCTTAAACCCAAATTGTTCCATTTTAGTGCAATTATTCGGTTGCTCTTGTAACTCTTCGTGTAACCCGTCAGGTTGGCAGCCTGAAACAATAACAGTAACTTAGAAGAGATGTTTCTGATAGACTGGCAAATTTAAGTAAAAATGAACAAATTCCAACATGTCATAGATGTAAAGAATACGAAAAAATGATATATTAGCTCTTAAGTTTCTGGTTTTCAAAACCGTAAACCTCTGCCGTGTTGGCACAATTTGTATGCGTTACGTGCCACAATTACAATTGCAATCAGCACTAGTTGTAGGATGTCTGTAGAACATATATGTTAGCACAGGCTTTATTGGACGCTTTCGCTACACAATTATCTTCTAATTACATTCAAGGGTTAATTGCAGGTATTGTAATGTGTACATTTATCACTGCTTTACTGCTCCGCCGCAAATTACCTGTTCCCTGATCAAATGCCACGGATTAACTGATTTTAGTTGGACATGATGCATTATTCTACGACTTAAACCGCCATCTCAGATAATCATAATTGGGTATAAAAAGTTCTACAGCACAGAGATTCTGTGCATGAGTTACCTTATTAGAATAGGAGCTTTTCTAAAGAGACGGTTTATTACGAGATAAGACTCCTAAGCCAATTAACTTAATCACGTTTCTTAAATTATTTCTAACAAATGCAACGAAACGACTGATATTTATCGCACATGTGACTGAGCTTTAATTATAGAAAATAAAAAATCTTTTACTAGAAATATGTAAATATATTGCTTAAACAAATTGAGACTGCAGATAACTTACACAGATTAAATAAAACAGATTTATAAAAATACATGTAATACTTTGTGTATACAAACTTTAGTGCAATGTTAAATAACATAACTTGATAAATGTAATTCAATGAATACAAAGTTGATATTTTTAGTTTTCTATTTTTGATTGTGTTACAACATTGGTTTTGAATTCTAGCGAAAACTCGAAACATTCGCCAACAAAAGAAAACATGTCTAATATTCCTACAAACTGAATATGATGAAACATTCATAAATGGAACAGATAGATTGAACAGATAATAGAATTCAAAGAACTTGGATGCTTTCGGTAAATATTACAGGAGGTAATATCGAGAATCTATAAACGTTGTTTTTTACATTTCTAAAAAATCTGTTTTATTACACGGTAGCACAGCAGGTTGTCGTAAAATTAGAACATAAATATTTTTATAGGACGAATAGCATTTAAACAAGAAAACAGGTCATTGTGATACGTTTTGACAAAACTCAATACCGATTTTCACATAGGTATTTCTCTGGCTAAAGTATTTATGTTTAGTTAGAATGAAATATTATACTAATTTTAAGGTGCTTTTGATTTCATTTATTTATGTGTAAGTATGAGAGAATTATCTCAGTTAAGAGATCATGTTGATCTAAATGAAAACAACTTTTTCTAAAATATTCAAAAAATGAGAGGAGGTGTCAAAAAACAAAATTTGACCTAAATCTGTATAGGACAATTAAAATTAAATCTAAAATCAGTCAAACTTGCAACTTAAGTGCATTATACAGGGTGATTCACGAGGAATAATGAGCCTGACCAAATTCTTGATGCAACCTCTACATGAAACTTGAATGAATGCCTTCCGTAATTCCCATTTTAATACACCTATTATTGTGTTGACTGTTGGTATAATTTGCTAATTGCACAGATACGTTTAAGTGAAAATGTTTTAATATGGATGTTGTTAATTTTCACCTGAATAGAATTCGTGACTACAACTTTTCGATGATAGAAATCTTAAGTGTACTTTGCGTGAGTTAGGTAGTTGAAATAATTAAAGAATATCATTTATCTCTTCTTTAAACTTGTAAGAGTATTATATTAATTAGTTAAAACAATTTCTTCCTTAATTAGACATTTTAATGATTCTGTTATTTATAGCATTTTAAATGATTGTAGTGCAAAAAGCTGTTGTTTAACGATATCGGAAATTAAGATCAGTAATTATATGCTTTTTTGTTTTTATACACATGTATGTTAAGTTCCGTCTTTACTTTTCAAGTTTAAGCATGCGTGTGATTATTTAACTTTATCCACTTTTCATGTCAAAGCCGAGATAATTTTATGTTTTAAACTACATTTCCATGTAATCACAACTTTATCCCACAATCATTTTGTTATAAATTACACTTAATGAGTTTCAAGATCAAAATTTTGGATAGAAAAGTTTTGATAAACTTACCAGGTATTGCTTGAAATTTATTAGTCAATTCAGACTGTGCAGCAAGTTGACAAAGCTGAATTAATTAGATTAAACCAATCTGCCAAGCAAATTTAAATTTAATTAAAAAAGCATAAACTGCAATTAAACCACATTTAAACTTGTTAAAAATGTGAATGTATTTTATCTAGTGACATAAAAGTGTTAGCAAGTATTCGGATGAATATAATTAATTTCCTTATCTTGGAGGTTTATCAAAATCTTGCAAAAAATAACACTATGGTATTTAGTGCACGTACAAATTGCATTAATCAAGCTTTAATCGATACGAAAAGCATCATGTAACATCATGATAGTATGTGATGCAATGAAAATTTTTGTTGGTCTCAATGTCACAGGAAATTTCTGTGGGTAAGCTATTAGAAGAGGTCAGGATGTTGTCCACCGCAACAGACACAGGAATATCAGCTTGCCAACTGTTCCGATGATAATGTTAAAGTGATACTTTGTAATTAGGTAAAGAGGATAGTTTTCCTGTGAGGCTCAAACTTGCCGTTATAATCAGACCGTGCTTATGGTGGCGAGGGGTTAACGAGGAACTTTGTAATTTAAGCAATTAAAAGCTTACGACAGTTTGCACAATGTATTGGTCAGAATCGTTATATCTACAATATGCAACTTTTGTTACATGGTTCTTGATACCATATTACAGGCTCTCCTACAGGAATACGAAGGTTAGTGAATTTCTAGCTAAGGGGTCAATTTCTGCCTTCAAAAACCTTATAATCTACGTACAAACTTTAGACGTTTACTTAATTAGGTTATGAGTACCTAAATCAGAAGCTTCTAGTTTATCACTATGTAATAAAAATGTAATAAAATAATAAAGAAGTTGCCCGGTTCGTATGAGGTTTTAAACGTTTCAAACTACAATAAATAAAAAGTTTTGAGATAAAAAAAATTAAACTCCAAAATTCATTTAAAAGGCATTTCAGTCTTTTGAGAAATTGTAAAATGTAGACTTAACAAAGTAACAAATAACAACACTTAACAGTTGCCCGGTTCTTATGAGATTTTAAACGTTTCAAACTACAATAAATAAAAAGCTTTGAGATAAAAAAATTAAACTCCAAAATTCATTTGAAAGGCATTTCAGTCTTTTGAGAAATTTTAAAATGTAGACTTAACAAAGTAACAAATAACAACACTTAACAAAGTAATAAATAATACTTGTAATAAACAAGTGTTACAAACACTCTCAATGCTGTAGGTTCGACGAGTAGTTTGTGTTTATGACACAAGCTCCGCGAGTAAATAAATATTATTTCAACAAAAAAAATTTTGTTTTTTATTTATCTTTTTTAACCTTATTTCAACAGTATTACAATATTGTGGTATAGATAAATTTATAAATTCAGTTAATATACTAAAGCCAACTGTCTCGTGTTGTAGAAATTGTATTGTAGAAATTTAGTTTATCGCATCTTTAATTCAAGTATTTTTCGTTGTATATAATATAATATATATAAAATATATTTTGTGTTTGAAAACATACCAATAAATATATTATATACCTAAATATTGAAAAATATTTCTTCAGAAAGCAAGATAAATATTAAATTAACCGTACCATAACTAAAATATAAGTGACCTAAATTCTAATAATTTTTTAAATTTAAACATATACAATATAAAACTTAACCTTGTGGTGCAATATAAATAAACAGAAATGTTGATCAAATAACTTTCTCTCTACACACTACTGTCTACCAGTAAATACGAGTATGTGTATGTATGTTCAGTTTCTGTGCGAGAGAAGTTAAAGCCTACACCTAAATAAAAATTATGTGTATTAAAAATAGTTGGTAAATAAAATAAATAAAATCGTTTTTCATAAGCAACTTCATTGTCACAAAATTAAATCATTTTGGTTGGTTATCAAAAAATGTGGATATTTTAATCAGTGCTAATGATCTATAATTTTCTTTTGACGTAAACAATATCTATCTATATTTGATAACAATGTACCTAATTATGTTTGTCCAAGAACCGTAGAAAACAATATTTTTAATCAAGGCCAGATTTCCAATAATAATCGTCGTGTTAATAATACAGCTAAGACATGTGGTTCTGTAACTGGCAATAAAATAATTAGTAATCTCACTGTCAACAGATCACACATGTTAATTGAATTGGGAGAGTGGCATAGGTACATAATGTAAATGGGTATATGTTGAAATTTCTGCAGCTCACCTTCTCTGTCTTTAGGCATTAATTATTCACAAACATTGAACACAATTATTCTTGTTCACGACAACAAACACGACTGCTATTTAGTTCACTTCAGACACAGTTCAATGCACTTTATTATTTTAGCAACATCCGAACACAAACGCTTTCTACCTACGACTGCTGCAACAGACAACGTTGTCGCATTGAAAGATGATAACGAAAAGTACGCAAACAAGAAGGAAAACGAAACCGACACGTTATACAGGTGAACGGGCACTTTTGATTATGGAGATATCTTCAAGGTGAAGGTGATTTAGACAGGAATGTATGTGTGCTATAAAGATCATAGTATTATACATCACATTAATTGTTTGAAAATAATGAAGATATCTTCTCTTTAATATCAGCTTATTTCTGCTGAATGTAAAGTAGAGGTCTCTGTTCTCACAAGGTGATGAGAATAATTAATTATGTATAAATCATACTCCTACAAAGAAGAGTTAGACCAATCTTTCTCCAATTTCTCTTCTATAGATACTCTAGGTTGCCTATATTTCAGTGAACTATAAAATCGTATCTGGTATAACCAGGTCATCTAAAATTATGATTTTACTTCGGATATTTATAGAATAATTTTTTTTTAATAATTTTTTACGAGTGTATTATGGGATTAGGAATGAGTAAATTATTATATGGAATTTGTAGACGTTAGTACTTAGTAGATAATTATAAAAATATAAAACAATATTTTTTATGTCCATTTGTTGTCACTAGTGCAATGCTTTGGTATCACTTAATTAGGTACGATAAATTATACTATAATTATACATTTGTATATGTATGTATGTAGTGAGCGGCAAAATTATCGAATAATTTTATATTTTAAAACTGAAAATCTTTTGTTTTGACAAAAATGCTCGAACAGGTCAATTTTCTTTTTAAGAAAATACAAAATCCTCAATTTGATTTCAAATTCTATGTTTGTTTTTAGTTGATATTCAAACTTAAGTTTTTCAATTTTTGAATAATTTTTTTTTCGAAAACTTTATGTAATACATGGTGTTGTCAGTTCGACAATATAGTAAAAAAATAGTGGTTTCCATTTTAAAAAATGTCGATGAGATCATTACCCAAAAACCAAAAAGTGTAAAATTTTAAATCAAGTTGATAATTGTATACTTATGTTTTAAAAAGAAATTTGACCTGTTTGAGCGTTTTTGCCAAAACAAAATATTTTCAGGTTTAATAAGATTATTCCATAATTTTACCGCTCAGTGTATATTTATATTAATAGTTACTGTAAAGCCTATGATCTCCTTCCTGCCCATTGACATCTGTAAAAATAAAAACAAAACAAAATATGATGAGAAATTAGAAATTATTTTTATTAATTTTTTCCTTCTTTCTTTTTTTTTCTTTATCAGCTAAAATTCGCCTCGCAAATGTACTTATCTCCTATACCGAGTGAAAGTATGGAACAAAGCGTTTTTTAAACTAATAACTTTTTGAAAAAAATAATTAGTGCAGAGTAAGATCTAACGTACTATAAAAATGTAATCGTCTTTCAAAAATATAATTTTTCGAATTTTTTTTTAGTTTTCGAGTTTACCAACAAAATTTTTTTTTGTATGGCAACCTACTAGGTACTTAAAACAATTTTTTTAATTAAAGACTCAGAGCTAAAAATCATCTCTAATTAAATAAAATTGTTTTTTTTGTCGAGTTTATTTAAATAAATTGTTAAAGTTGCCTTTCGAGCTCATCACGAAGATTTTCCGAACTTCCGAACTTTCTTCTTCCGAAATCACCTCTATGTATCTGCATAAAAAACAGACTATTATTATTACCAAATGCTTGCAACAACCACTTCATTTAGTTCGTAAAATCTAAGTGCTGAGCTCGAAACGCAACTTTAAATATTTATTAAAAAAAACAGCTGGTTAATAAACAATTTTATCCACAATCACTCTATAAAAAACTTTATTCCACACTTTAGATGCGTATAAAGTACAACTTTATCCACTAGTGGAATAAAGTAACTTTATTCCACTGTTAGTAACCAGCGCACCGCGTAACAGCTTACTACGTTTAACCGAAAGCACATTTGGGCCTGTGATTGTGGATAAAACGTTATATTGCAGTCGTGTGTTAGTCGCGTTTTATCCACTTAAGAAAATTAACCGCTGGAACTGACGTTCTCGAGGTTAAACATTCTTGCGTGGATAAAACGCTATCTAACACACTCTTACAATAAATAACTATTATTTAATTAGAGATCATTTTTAGATCATAATTTTTAATTACAAAAATAGTCAGAGTGGGTTGTCTTAAAAAAAATTTTTTAAACTCGAAAACTAAAAAAAATTTCGAAAAATGTTTTTCCTAAAAAAACAATAATATTTTTATTTTACATACTTTGAAAAGTACTAATTATTTTTTTCGTAAAGAAATTTGTTTATGTAAAAATTGCTTGGTTCCATATTTTTTACCTACAAAAGTATTTGTCTGGATTTAATTTTCTTTCTTACTCATATCAACATTCAATTAGTTTAAAATTCCAGAAACTGTAAAATCATTGATTTCAAAGTATGTTCGGCAAAGCTTTAAGTTCTGAAGCAAATAATAAGTCGCTGATGTACTGCTTACTAACACTCGTTTATTACAAAAAATTATTCAATTATACAGATACAAATTCAATAAAGAAACGTAAATGTAAAACGTTGGTGATTCTGATAATAATAATCTGTTGATAATTATTCTTATTGTCTTGTTTTTTTTTAACTATTAAAATTATCATCAGTGACTTTTTCCAAAATTTTTATTTTTTTATATTTTTTATATTTTTATTAAAACCTAATTTTTTAATATTCTTTTGATCTTCATTTTTTAAGTAAGTTTTATTTTCAAGAAATTAATAAAACATCTGTTCTTGATATATACAGCTGTTGTAATTCTAAAACTATTTCTGGTGCTGGCTCGGCTTTAAATGAGCCCTTGTCCGAGAAAATTCGCGATGGCAACAGGGAGACATTATTCAGCCCCACAATGCGTTTTCTTTTTCATTTTGCTAATATTTTAATAATAGATGCGTTCCAGGCGTTCGTGTGTCATAATTCTTCGTGTTTCCCCAACAATCCTAATTCCGTTTAACCGCTCGGAAGATTTTCAAGTCATGCGTTCATGCAAGGCAAATTAAATTGACCACTTTTTGTCAGATAGTCCAGAGTAATGGCCCATGAAATCGGCCGTATGTCCATCACAAACGTGAAATTAACATAGAGGTGGTATGTATTGTCGCTATGTTTCAGCCATCTCGTTAGCATGCACAGGTTTTAATCTGTTTCGAATTAAACACGGGTGTCTCTGGAGAGTCACCGTCGATATTTGTTCCGAGCTCGAGGATGATGTCCGCCGACGTCGAGATTAATTTCGTCAGGCGGTGATAGCTTAATAAATTGAAAACGTTCGTGATACACGAAATTAAAATGCAAGGCACGACACCGCAATAATTGCATAAATGAAGACTATCTACTTAACGTTCCCCTCTACGGAAAATTGTTTGCTACCAAAACCACTTGTCTTCAGTCTAAACCCTTGGCAAATGTCATTATTATATTTAAAAAATCGAAAGTTGACCTAAATTACTTCAAGAAAAAGCAATTTTAAATCATTAATAAAGTTACTGTACAGATTAATTTCATTTATGTCAAATTACTAAATTGCCTTTTTATTAGATTGGACATAGATGTAAGTTGTTCAATATATTTCATACGTCAATGTCTTGCTTGCTGATATTATCTATCGATTTAATCAAAAACGTAGCTGAAAATTTTTAATGAATAGTAAGACCTAATCTTGCTGTCAAGACATGTATCTGCAATTCCTTCCACTTAAGAACCAATTAAAAGTTTTGAAATGTTCCGGTTATAAAAAGGAGCACTTATTCGATATGGATTTTCCGTGTGGATGTCTTGATTTGCATTCGTTGCGACGACGTGCATAGCGAATAGTAGAATCGAGCACCGAGAAAACTAACATTAGCATGCCGGTAGCATCGCGACGCTGATGCACGACGTAACGTCCGCCCTTTTCGGATGCTGCGCCGCCGATCCCACGTCAAATCGCAACAAATCGCCCCCATTCCCGATGAATTTACTATCAGGACGCAGGTTCGCTAAGCTATGTATAAATCTTTGCTACGCTCATCCATCTTAAAGAGCATAAGAAACTGTGCAGGAAATTCGCCGATCAGGCGATTTTCTCTGTCGAATAATTATGTAAATAAAAGCGTAACTCGATGAAAACTGTTGAGTTCTGATGTCTGTTCCGGACCGAAAAGGCTACGAGGTAGGCCATTATTTACCCGGAGAACCCGTACACAATTTATACATTGAAGTTAAAAACTGACAAATTGGTTATGGAAATATGCTCAATACTGACAGTAGTTCGAATTGGGATTTCTTTCTTATACTTTTGTTAGAAAATAAAAAACATGATAATTGGAAATATGGAGATAGACTAAAGTTGAGAGAGATGGATCAAAAATTTGCTCTAAAATTTTGATCGCAATTCCATTCCCATTTCAAAATACTTACTAATACTTTCTCTTGTACCATATACTTTAAAAACGTTTTAAATACAACGAAACAATTAAACAAATATTTTTGTGCGATTGAGCTCTATTTGATTGTTTACGACGTCTGCTTCCAAGACAGTAAGTTGTATTTACCTAAGTACTCAAAATCGTCGTCAAAGTATTTTGGCGATCTAGAACGGTAAGTAAAATTGTTAGATATTTTATTAAAAAAATAATAAAAATAAATTTCGCAAAAAATGTTATAACTATCACAAAAATGACTTACCGATCTCAGACAATAATTAGAGTCGCTGTTTCGCTCTTCCTCCAAACAATTGTCTTCAATCGGTAAAATGTCTTTTTAAGATACTGAATTGATAACTATCGTTTACATAGTTACAAACGAGTCCGATAGATAAAATTTACCGGCGTAGTCCGGTGTTGCTACCGCTCTAATACCGTAAATAGCTATTACTGTTCTTGATGCTTAATATTCTAGTTCCTACCTACTGTTCAAAAAATACATCTTTGCTACAATGTCTAGTAAATTGATAGTTCTCTACCACTACCAGATTTTATTTATTACTTTTTATTATATTATCCTTAACATATCATTAGTACATCAATTTTATATTGCTTAAAAATGTTGACTTTAATATGAAAATAAATGTAGCAATTTTATTCATTCCTAAATCTTTTAATTTTACTGTCTTTTGTTCTACATATTCTGCGCCAGTCTTTTTGTGTTGTAAACTGTAGGCATATTTTCATTAAAAATTGCAAAAAAGCTCTTAAAAAAGCACATGTTCTCAGTAAAAATTCCAATTTTTTAAGCGGTCTCTTACTAAAATCAATTAGGAAAAATAGCGCCATAGAATAAATATTTATATTAAGGGCTCATTTCTTTTTACAAGAAAGAGGCAGCCTGTAGCCTGTACATAATTATCATTGTGGTCACCACAATACCTAAATCAGAGGTAGGGTAAATATCAAATACGTTGTTTAAGGAAAATTAAAAATTTATCAATAGTATATTATATGAAGTTTGCCCTTGGCAAATTCGTGCCGATTTCTGAATGTGGCAACTTGGCACTGTGTAAACCAGGAAATTGGGAACCGCAACCTGGTTCAACAAAGCCTGTTCGAGCGCGACTCCTCGACAGTCGACACCACTCCACGTCAATGGGATGACACCGACAGCATAGGGCCGGTGTCAATTATTTGGACAGCAGTCAACTACTTTAACATGTTTGCCAAAACATTCCTGTCGATTAGCACACGACGGGTGCTCCGATTATGTTGCTGTTATAAGCACCTACTATTGCACTCCACCGGACGGGAAAAATACAATTTTTCACAAAACCGCAATCGTCGATGACATCAATAAACGACACACGTTGAAATTCATACATTTTTCTATACTCCTAAAAGTTGATTGCGGAAATTTAATTACTCTAATAAACTAATAATCCTGAAAAGGATGTATAGTGATAAAAAGATAATGTTCTTGGGTATTGAGTTAGTTGTATGTATATATGACATTGGAAATAACTTTAAATTTATATTTCTCCACCAGATATGCCAGTGGGACAGTGGTTGTAAACAACAATGGTTTAATATAGGGTTATGTATGCATAGACCTTTTGTAATTATTATCAAGACATATTTACATGGTCCAACAACATTGTTCAAACTTTATGGTGCTATAAGCGAAATGCTGATCCAACAAATCCTTTTATAGTCATAAACATGATAATAATATATGTACTTACTCTTTTTTTGTAAAAACCAAATTTTGTTCTATTTTTTTACATCAAAGTGACACAAAAATGTAAGTACATTTGTAATAAAATGAAACTTTCTCTTGTTGCACAATCTTATCACCTTTCAAAAACTTATCGTGAATTTCCTTCGACATCTTGCAAGTTTTAAAATTCAATTTTAAACTGGACTATGCAAGTTTAGAAGTTCCTCATTCGGCTTTGTCCTAAGGTGGAAAGTTCATGAGCAATCTATTTTAGTTTCAATTAAAAATATCATGTTTCGATTAGTGCTTAGGAATCAAACTATCGCCAGAGAATATCACTGACAAAATCACATAATGAAACAGCGTTATAGTTCAGAAATAAGAATTCTATAAAAAACTATAAAAATGTATGAAACTATATTCTATCGAATTAAATTTCTGATTAAAATGGCCTGGGTCTTTGAACCTAGGTGGTCAACATTGAATGAGACTAATTTGTGAAGTCTAATTTCTTTTCTTTTTACATTATTCAATATTGCCAACTTATTTTCAAAATTAGAAACCACATTATTTAGACAATTAATTAAAGACATGGTATTTTCGTTATTAATAAGAAAATGTAATAGTTTTATAACTCTTGAAATTAAGAAGATACTAAAACAGCCTTAACATTAAAAACTCTGGCATCGAAATCACTTGTTCAAATAAATCAAATAACAAGATTTCAGAGTTATTTCTTAAAAACAGCAAATGTAAACGTAAAAAAGAATAAAATATTGTTTTAAACACAATAATCAAATTTTATTATTTCAAGCATAAAAATAAATCAAAAACGTGAAAATCAATTTCAATTGATAACGTAAATAATTTTTCTGTTTTTGTGTAAACTTTGTGTAGTAACAAAAGTGCAAGCTCACCTGAACAATAGCACTAATACAGAAGTAGCAGAGATTAAGCTAGCAAATGTTCAGTCATCAATAACTGCTGTCATTCACAACCAAAACCATCACTTCTTGTTCACATTGGGCGTCACTTTCACTCGTGCAGCATTTCGTTTAAATCTGAAACAAAGATCACGTAATTAGTTTCTCTCCTCCACCGACACCTTCTCATTTTTGGCAAATTAAGAAGTTATTAAAGAGGTGGTGTGAAGACTCCGTCGGTTGATTAAAAACATCCAATAGAATCGGTATTGTTCAAACATCGTCCCGAGCGATACAAAAGATTCATCGAGTCGGAGAATCTTCGAGGATCATCTTCACCTGAAGGAGTCACTTAAAGTGTTTGATATTTGGTGTAGTATCAAGATTGGATGTGAAGCACAAAGAGTGGAGGATACGGTGCAGCATCGACGTGACGGTTCCGGTTCGAAAGCTCTCAAACCGGTAACATTCCCTAATTAAATTCTATCATGCAGGATCACTCACGGGATCAGATAGTTCATTTGCATTAACAAGTTAAAGGGAAGCTGTGCGACGCCTCGGTCGAACCGTGTCCATACGGTCTTCGGCCAATTACGCGGATGGGGATGTCTTTTTTCGACTGAATGAAATATGGACATTTGCAACAACCGAATGATGAATATGAAGAGGCCAGAAATGGCGCAACAAAATCATATTCGTTAAGTTTTTTCGACATACTTCGTTAATTATAAAAATTGATCGACGAAGTCGGTCGCATACCATGGTAATGCGAAAACAAGCTGATTAAATCATTTGGGCGAACAATAGCAAAATGCTGGCCAAAATTAATTAACAAAATCATTTCTCAACTTTCAATTTTAATACCGACTAGAAACTTTCTTCGGTACATTGTGCTAGAAAACAACCCCTGATTAATAAAAATTTAATTAAATAACTTTTAAAACTCAAGACAAAGCATCTTTGTTCACTCCTTGTCTATATAAATTATATAAAATTTTGTACCTTAATAGTGTTTATTCTAAAATATAACGAGACAATATCTATTGAAAACTTTCTGCTTACTATTCAGGTTGCAGTAGCTAATAAAACAGCTCATTTAAGTTACTGCAACAGTTTACGTTGTTCAACTTGTATTAAAACACCAACAAATTATTATTTAAAAATATGTATTTCTTATCTGTTTTATGGTTTTATGCGTTTGATAAAAATCCATACAAAAAAAAACTGTATGAAACTTGTCAATTGAGTCAAACCTCATAATAGTCATAATAAAAACTAATTCAAAATAATTTATTGTTTTATAAATACACATTGTTTATTGAAAGAAAAATCATTCATGAATAGTTATTCACCTAAATAGTTTGACTAAGAACGATTAAAAAAAGATTATAATCAATTCATCTATAAAAAAATGAATAATTTATAATAACTTGATGCATTCGTGTTGTAATACAACAAAAAACGATTTAAAAAAGTTGGTTTTACTACTATTTTTATAATTTAAAGCTCTACCAGATTCCAAAAAAACACCCATTATTTTGTAAATTTATAAAACACTTCATGAAGGATTTTTATAAATGATCTTGTCTGCTGTGGTTTTATTATAAATCTTACAATATTAAATAATAAAGAATTAGAACTACTTTAGAGAATACTTAATTACAATCAAAATTTAATATTGTGATTAATTTGACGTTTTGCAATAAAAATTGCAATTTAATCCAAATTTAATTTGTAATTTTCTTTTTACAATCAACTTTAAATAAGTAAAAATACTTTTGAGTATACAACTGATAAATTAACTATTTTCAGCAAATTTATATTATGAAGCTTAGAAAAGCTCACTTATTAGCTGTTTTCGTTTACAGGGTAAAAACTGTCCCTTAAATAAATGAATTAAAAGCTTTAGTAAAACTCAAGTTTATTAATAAATAATATTTGAAAATTAACCTAAAAAATACCTAGTTACTAAATGTATTTAGTTTTCATCGTAAGTTAATAACAGTCATTTATATTACAATTCCGAAAAGTAAGATTTTGCTGAATAAATACGCAAATACAAAAAACAGTAGTTAGACCAATTCTGGAAGCTTACGAGTCCATTGAGGAAGTTCTACAAAAACATGTACAAAACGTTACACCTGCTAAACATTTAAACATAGACTCTAAAACAGCCGCTTAAAATTATTCCACATAAATGTCGCCAACCGTGGCAAAATTCTCTGGAAAAAAAAATTTCGTTTTTCAATTTATAAAATGATATAAAGCGGCAAAATAGAAAAAATAGTATAAAGCACTTGTTGCAGAAGGTTCTTCAAGCACTCATTTGTTCCTCAACTCGCCGCTACGCGGCTCATTTGGAATTTCAAATTTGTGATTGAAGATACCTTCTGCAACATACTATTTCATGTACGTAGTTGGCTTTCCTTTGGCAGTTTATTTTTCCAGCAAAATCGTGTCGTCAAATAAACAAAATGTAAAGCAGTCAGTATTATTCAAAGATGGGATATTCATAGAGAAATTACCTCTCTATAATGCTTTGGCAAAATATTTATCAATTGCAATTCAAATAACTGTTATTGAAGCAAACAACAATAGAGATGGGAATTCGGAGCGAGAACGGGATTGGGAAGGAGATTAAGGAAAGTCGGGTAACGGGAAGTGGGATGCCAAGGTCCCGGAAGCAAGGGATGTGTGACCTAATTCAGGAAAATAGTTCCGTCGCCGTCGCTACAGGGCGCAGGAGAGTTATGTGGTCTTATGACAGCATCGGTGACGTTTGCACATCATAGATATCACCACGAGACGCCTCCGACCGCCATATTGATTCTTCTGATGCCACACCAAACGACACTTTACCCCAAATTCAGATAACTTGTGCTTCTCCTCCAGGAGGAAAAAGCTTGCAGATAAATTAACTTTGTAGATTAGCTCCAATTTTGAAACATAGTTTAATACAGTGTTAGGTTCGAGTGTTGGCGAAAAGTGGCATTTTCTAGATGAATTTCCTTCAGTGGTCACATTAGCATGGACATATTTCTAATGGAATATTCATATTCCACTTAACAGGTAGCCAGATGGCATACGTTCATTCATTATGGAACCGTTTTTGGCTTCAAGGACCATTTAATGCATATGGATATCTTACACTTCATGCCTGCCTTCAACCGCAGCTCGCACACAAATCACCAAAATTATTATCCGAGAATCAATTCGCTCTGCATATGCTGGACGATAACGACAGACCAAAAACTCAAAATTTAGTGACCACGCAATCAAATGCAGATGATTTCTGCAATTGATTTTGCATTTACAATTGTATCTCCAAATAATTATATGATTTTTGTTTTTTTTTTTGACCATTTTTCTTAGCAAATAAACAGTGAGATGCCATGTCCTGATTTATTCCTTTATAAAAGCGATTGCGATTAAAACGATGGTAAGTTTTTGTGCGTTTGAGAGGCGGGACAGATTGTGATGGCTTTCGATATATCTTCAGTGCTTTTAAACAAGAAAAATAAAGTTTCCACCAGCAGTCAACATCCCGACATGCGATCGCCGATCTTTACCGCTTGAGTAATGCTCGTCACAAGCACTTGCTACACGTATATTTTTATTTTACATGTTATATTTTGATGGTGGTCGTAAAAGCTCTCGATGTGTATGTATGCAGGTACTTCAATTTCATATATAATACTTTGTTGGCGGCTATGCTGACATCCTACAGAATCGAATTTGATTTACATGTTTAATCGATAAATCTTTATTGTGTGCATCTACGTTTGTCCGGAAATCGCTGTAATTTATGATGCACCAAACGCCGGGGTTTTTATAATCTAATATTCCATGGCTAGGAAGAACGATTAAACGTCCTATCGTTATTTTACAGATATTGCATTACCTCAAACGTCGTTGAATAAATAGACATAGCTTAAAAAAACATATTTTAAATAAATACAAATAAAATATGTATTACGTTTTAACATATAATATATTGCTTTTCTTATAATGAAATATTTGAATACTTTAAAATAAAATAATAAAAACTGTAGAACCAGCTTTGTTATTGGTAATTAATAGATATCAAATCTGATTTTGATAGTAAATTTCTGTATCCTCGTGGCCAATTTATGTTGTGTCTGTTAGTACGTACACACTATAGGTAAAAAACTAACATCCTTATTTCTATTTTAAAGTTTTATTTCCCTGTCAAGAGTGTCAAGTATAACGAAACGTAATAAGACGCAAATTTTCCGTCACACTATACAAACAATAACAACAATAGAGAGCACAAAACACATAAAGGTCACACACATAAAACATTTTCATTAAAAATTGGAATTAACCAATTTGGCTACATTTTTGAATAAATTTAAAGTGTAAAATAATTGGATTTTCATTATATTATAATTATATTATAAACGGACCAATCACATCAATGCATTGAATTTTTGAATAAATTTAAAAATCTTAATTGATTGTTTTTTTTTACATTATTATAATGGCCGAAGTTAAACTGCTCAATCACAATCCTTACGCCTTTTACTACAATCCTTATGTAAATTCATTAATAATTTTTATTTTAGAGAGTGCGGTATTTGCTAACAAATATGTCGAAAACTGTTTGCGATACAAAAAATTCAATAAAACTGTATTGCCGAAAATTTCAAAAGCTTTAATTTTGTACATACAAAAATTAAAAAGCCCAACTTTTGATTTCAGAGTTTCAAAAATCTGGTCTATTTTAGCGCGGAGAAAATATTTTAACAGCAGTTAAAAATTCATTCCATAAATTTTTCGTTTTTAAAAATACAACCTTTTGCTGTAAAAACCTAAATATGTTAAATATCATAGGCAATGATTCACGTCCATTCACCTAATTTTTAAGACTTTAATAAGCTTAAAAAAATTAAATACTCAATTTTCTGTTTCTAATGATCACTAAATTTTTCTTTTGTCGTCGCTATAAAATTAAAAGGTAGCCGTCACAACTATATAATTATTATTTGTTAAAACGTTAGTGGTAGTAATTTTCGTAATAAATGGATTCATCAATTAGGGACTTGAACTAACGACTTAGCGTTGATGATCTAGCTCTGACTAATAAATAATAATAGAGCATTGTTCCTTAAAAATGCTTTACCATTAAAAAAAACTAATGATTCTTGGGTGTGGTTTGGTTGTTGATCGTTGTTGGACATACAATCGCGTTAAATATGAGTTCTGTTTAACCATTTTTAAAACGTCCACGTTAAATCTGAAAACAAACAAGAGCAATTCCAGGTGTCTCTATAAACCGTGTAGTACAGACACTAAAACTGTCAGTCGCAGTAAATATTTATATTAGCGGTAAAATTCTAGAACAGAGTCACCACCATCAACGTTGGAATCACGTCCATATCTAATCCCGAAGCTGAAACTCGGCCGTAACGACAAACTTTTCCTTCAACTTCCACATTCACTCTGGAAAACGGTGCTTTATTTATTCCCTCCAAGAAACTGTTTTTAAATGCATTCGCATTATTTTTTCCGAATTAAATTTACTTCGTCGACCACCCTCGACTCAATAATCTCGAAATTGAAAAGAAAATCAAGCTTGCACAAAATAATTATTTGCATAATCGGAATTTACATAAATATACTGAATATTCAGAAGAGACGTGGTGCCATTAATGCTGGCGTTGCTAACGAGAACTTCTGCTATAAAATGCATAGCTATTAATTTGTGTGAGTTAAAAACTATCCATTATAAAATATAATATTTAAATTTCAAGGGAAATATTAATTTCGACTGAATTGTTGGCAGTTGCGAGTTTGGAGCTTAATCAAGAGTTAATTTATTTACGTTCTGTGGATTGACATTATAACAACATTGGCGGATAGTGGACGCTAATACGTATTCGAAACCAGCAATGTTGCTACGTAAAGCTCTCTGACCTTTGTACCAAAGCAGCTTACAGATTTTATCTCGGATTAATGTTGTATGCACGGATGCACAGCTCAATATTGATCGCGTTATTTATGCCGATTCTCGCGTTATTCAAAGTGACGATATCAAAAATAACTCCAAGGTTCAAGGCGCTCAGCCCTAGTTTATTCAACATAATCACATATTGCACATGTTTACAATCACTGAGTATTTCAAAATGGAAACAATAATTTGTATATACGGACAAAAACTACGATAAAAACTCAAATAAAAATAAACAAATCTGTGTAACATAGACTACATTCATCTAATAATGTGTTTTATTAGAAGTTGAGACAAAGATATACTTAATTAAAAAAACACAAACCGTAATTATTATTATTACAATGAATTTATTATTTAATTGCTATTTTGTTTTTTCTGTCGTGTTCCATATTTTTTTCTGTATGAAATAGGGGAATCTCTTACAGTCATTTTATGAAAAATAAGGTGTATAATGTTATATACGACCATGAATAAAAAGTATGGAACCATGTTTTTTGCCTAAACTATTTATTTTTTGAAAAAACTAATTGATGAATAATAAAGTACTATAAAAAGGTGATGTTTTATCAAAAAAAAATCGAAATTTTCTTTTGTTTTTGAGTTCTACAAAATTTTAATTTTTTTAATTCACTATAAAACCATTTTTTTCATGGTCAGCTTACAAACTATTATCTACTTTATATTTAATTTTTTCAAACAAAAATTTTACATAAATTTGCAATTTTGACAAAAAAATCGTCTAACTCAAAAACAAAACAAAATTTTGTTCTCAAAATACAATCGCATTTTTTATATTTCTTTAATTTATATTAACTATTATTTTCTGGATGCAAGTGGTTAAAAAAAAACTGCTTGGACTGCTTGGAAAATTGCTTGAACTTTATGTTTAGCCTGTATAATTATTTCAATTAAAAAAAATGTACAGCAATTGGCTGTGAATATTTAAAGTTTCTGATGATTGTTCAGAATGTAAAAAAAAAGACACGTGTGTCGTGTGTTTGATTTTATTTGTGTCAAAAATGTTCTCGGGTCTGCTCTATAAAATATGAATAACTAGATAGTAAAAAGCAAGAGAGATTTGGTTTTATTACCAAAGAATGAAAAATCCTCCAAGCGAATGTAAAATTAAAAATAATTTAAGTTAACTAAGAATATAAAATGTCTCGTCTCGTTTTACTCGTTAAATGAAACACAAAATCAGCTGTTAAAAATAACATCAAAATAAATACAGTAATTTTCGTTAAAAATGTTTCAACCTAAAAATAAAACTCGAAATTTTTTATGCAAAAAAGTAGCGCAGTCGTTGAAAAACTAGAATTAAAATATATATTACATAAAAATAACGTATTACCAAATCTGGGAAACATAGATACCTGTTACCGATTTTATTATTTTTATAACCACATTTTAGTGTTTTACATGATGACGAATATTCAATAACAGAAATATAAGCACTAAAAAATTCCTCAAATTGGAATTAGATACACATTTTTTACCGCTCGGTTTGACAGGATTGTTTTATTTTGTTTATTTTGCATTAAAATGTTATGTGCGTGCATTCATTTTATTTTGATAAATTGTTTAGTTTACCTGATATATTTTGTGCTCCGTCACGATCAACCCATTTAATATTGTATATAAACTACATTTTTTACATATTTTTGAGAGATTTGTAGCGTACTGTTTAATCATATCAGCACAAATGCTAGATTATATCTGACTTTTCTCAATATTTGAATATTTTTATAATTAATAATAACAAAGATTTGGAGCAGAAACATGGCTCTCAAAACTTTTATAAAAATGATAAAGAACAAAAAACTTAATTTTCTATATTTATAGGTAAGAACAAGAAAATAATTAACATTTTCATTCAGTTTTAATTTTATGTGGTTTTCCCTCAAAACTGAATGCAATAATCGACTAGAATATTTCCCTCATAAGTGTGTAATTCATCACCGGTGCCAACAACTCCCAACTCGTTTTCCTGTTTATTCAAAAAATTCCTCCGGAAAGCGCAAAACCGCCCGTACCCAATGTCCGTTGATGTGTGGTCGATATTGAGGCGGTGGCTGACCGGAGACAGGAAATTGCATTACTTGGCCGTGTTGGGCTAGGCGAACAATCATCAGTCTCACGGACATGCACACATCATACATACTACATAGAACTACACGAAACACATTACTCAGGCTGTTCTCAGCCGACGGCGCCGCCTCCACCTACGGACGCTGTCACACCACTCAACCTATTTACGTCACGTACGAAACACGTCGCATGCAAGAATGCAATGAAAACGTCATAACTTGCTGCAACGATCAAATTATTGTGCCGTTTTCCTGCCAAATTGAGGTCGGAAACGGTTCAGGGACGACAATAGCGTGCGTGAAAATAGACCATGGACCCGTCATCATCTGTC